TTCATATCTAGAGGTACCACTGTACATACATACTGTACATACATACACTATATCTATCTATCATCTATCTATCTATCTATCTATCTATCTATCTATCTATCTATCATCTATCTATCTATCCCCTTCATTCATAATGTGTTAATGGTTTTCAAAAAAAGTGAACATGAAGCCTAGATTAGGATCCTGATAGGGGTGTAGAGGAAGAACCCCTTCTCCCCCCCCCCCCATGTTTTCCCAGTCTAAATATGGCCTCTTGCACTTGCCATTTGCATTGGAAAGAAAACATGCATTTGCCAATGGAAGCTTGCTTTCCAACGCAAATGACATGCACCAATGGGAGCTTTCTTTCCAATGCATATAGCAGATGATTAATATTTGGGACAATAATAGGACACAACGAGTTAAAGTCCTCTAGTCCTTGCCAAAATCCCAATCTGGATTGGGGCCCCCTTTGCCTGATATTTACCCATTCACATAATTACTCACTGTGTGAACGGTGTCACATCTATTTTGGCCCTGAGATGCATGTGAAGAAAACAAGTAGTGTTGCTTAAATTAAAAGCTATTTGCCTTTTTTTTACAACAGCAAAATGGGACAAAGTATAGTTTATTTTTCTTTATTTAATTTAATAAAATGTATATACTGCTTAATTTAAAAAGCTTCTTTATAAAATATAAAATAGACATTAAATCTACTGATAAAATCAGTTGTTAAAACAAGTTTGCTTCAATTATATTAGATCATTACATAAAGCCATAGAAAGAAGCAGCACCACTATCTCATTATACCTCACAATTGCAGTATAAGTATGCAGTTTAAACGGCTTCCAATTAAAATTACACTAAATCCCTTCTGACCCCATTCTTTTCATTCCTCTGAAAATGGAATGTTTCTGAAGCAGTAATGGCTGCAGACACTGCCGAATGTATTTACCTTCCCAGGGCATTGCTTTCAATATGTATTAAATATTTTGCAAGTTACTAGGCATCTCCATTTGCTTAAGGAATCTATAGAATGTTTGTTATAGCAGAGCTAGGCAGTTGTGCTTTTTTTGTTTTAGATCTAAGGGCTGTATAAAAAATATGTATAATGAACTGCATAATTGTAGTCAAATTTGTATTTTGTTTGATAGCATCTTGAGGATGTTGGCCTTTGCTTCTTGCAGATGTCATGACAGTCCAGAAACATATTGAATGTAGGATTTGTTTTACATGCACTTTCTCTGCTTCCTCATTGTTAGCTCGCTTGCGTACCGCTACAACCTTGACAGCTGGAAACTTTCCCCCCCACAAATAGAATTGTCCAGACTGTGCAAAGAAGCACGGTAGCAGATATAATTCAAGGACTCTATGCTGTCCTTTCCAGTATTGCAGTCAGTGCTGGATTTACGTAAAAGCTAAACTAGCTATAGCTTAGGGCCCCACCCTCTTGGGGGCCCCAAAAAAATTTAAAGGGAAAAAAAACTGGATGTACATTTCCAAACTATAAGATAAAAAACAAATAAAATAAAACCTACATACAGCAACAGTGTTTTGTGTTGTGTAGGCTCCTATTTGTTATGTGCAAATGGCTTTAGATACCTACTAGGTCCATAAATTACCATATAGCATATATTCAGCACAAAAAAACCAGCAACAGTTTGTTGTTGTTGTTTTTTAAATGTATTTTTATTAAAGATTTTCTTGATTTACAAAGGTATGTGCAATGTCTCTCTCTCATATATTTTTCCCAATGTAACATTTATTTATATTTTTTTACAAATCAGTTTCATTTGTTGAGACATTAGGAAGAATAGGGGGAAAGAGGTGGGGGGGGAAGATGAGTGGGGGTGGGGTCGGGTGGTGATGTTTCTATTTTACTTAATATATGTGGGGTTTTGTGTCATTGTTGCTTGTGCAGGTTCTCTGCTGTTCACTTGTGTTCCTTTGGTGGTGAGAGAGGTTGGGGTTGGCCTAGGGTGTGGTTGTTTGTTTGTTTGTTTGTTTGTTGGTTGGTTGGTTGGTTGGTTGTGGTGATCTTTGTTTTCATGTGTGAGTGGGGTGGGTGGGTGGGTGTTTTGGATCAGGTTAGCCATATTGATTTGTATGCTGTTGGTGGATTTTTGTCATTGTCTTGTTGGGCTGTGTATGTGATAAAGGGAAGCCATACTGGGGTGAAGGTGTCTTCGTGACAATTTGTTGTTGACAAGGACAGCTGGACATATAAAGAGCCCTGTTACCTTCAGTAGCTTAGGGCCTCATCAAACCTAAATCCAGCCCTGATTGCAATGTTGTTTTTCACTCTCCAGTTGTGAGCATTAGACAGAGACTGCACACAAGAGGCTTCCTTATGTCATTGGTCTGTCTAGTTCAATACTGTCCGCTCAGTGGCGTAGCGTGGGGGGTGCAGGGGGGGCCGGCAGCACCGGCCGCAACATCTGGGGGGGGCGCTCGCACTCGCAGCTCTCTGCCCCTACCTGGCTGACTCACTCTCTCTCACTGCAGTGCTGGCTGTGCGAATCCGATCCGAGCCGCTGGGTCGCCGCCCACTGTGGAGAGGGTGGGTGCCAGGCGTGCGGTGCGGAGAGAGAGCGAGGGACTATCTGGGGGAGGGACAGTGCAGCGGCTGCCCAGCGCAGCACTGAGCGCGGGAGAGAACCACACCAGACCAGACCAGGCAGCAGCAAGAAGAAGCTGGCAGCGGCGGCAGGTTAGGGGTTAGGGGGCGCAAATTACTTGCCTTGCCCCGGGTTAGGGGGTGCAAATTACTTGCCTTGCCCTGGGTGCTGACAACCCACGCTACACCGCTGTGTCCGCTACAGTGACTGGCAGTGGTTATCATGGGTTTCAGACAGGGGACGTTCCTAGTCTGACGTGGAGATTCCAGGACCAATCCAGGCACCTCCTGCCTGAGAAGCAGATGCTCTCCCGCTGAGCTACATGTGTTGGGTGCTTCAGGTGGTAAATGCTGTAGGATGGACAGTGGTGGTGAGGAGTGGGAGGACAGAGCTGTGTGTGATGCTCGGAGCTGTATGTGCCCTGCACCCTGGTCTGCTGCTCACAGTTGTGGTGGAGGACACTGTCTCATTACCTGTGATGAAACAAGATTCTATTGCCATTCCAATCATCTTCTCTAGTTGTGATGGGGTGGTGGGCAGCTTGAACTTTTCCACAAAAATCAATGTATATTGGGCCAGCCTTTTGACTGGCAGATAGGAAAGATAAGAAAGAACTGGAGACATTAAGAGTATCTTGTAATCTTGTCTGGATTTGTTTATTTTCAAAGGTATAGGATACAAAGACCAGTACCCAGGTACTCATTGGTAGAAAGTCAGATTGTGCTGACTGGCCCTGCCATGGCTATTGCACTTGCTGTTACTCCACCACTTCATAGAATCATAGAGGTGGAAGGGACCCAAGGGTCATGTAGTCCAACCCACTGCAATGCAGGAATCTCAGCTAAAGTATCCATGACAGACGCAAGGAAGGTAATTTCTGTAAAGGAGAGCCCACTGATTGAATTCATTGTTCTCAAATATACATAGTACATACATGGTTGCAGGGCAGAGCTGGTGGAGGGATGCTGATATGGAGCAGAATGCTTAAATGGGGCCCCAGTCAATGTGTAATCTAACATAAGCTTTTATGGAAGAAGACAGAACAGCATGCTCCCTCCGTAGCTGTCAATAACCTTGCCAGGGAATTTCTGGATGCTGTTGTGGAAAATAATCCTGTATTTTGGGTTGCCTTTGATGACAGATTCATGTAGAGCAGACCATGACAGACTACCTCCTTGCTGAGGTGGATTGCAGACAGCACAATAAACTACCCCAACATCTGTACTGGCTCCGTCCCTAAAGTCTTTCGGGGTGTGAGCGTTGGTCTAAAAAACACTTGGCAGCTTCGATTCTAAATGCCCCAGAGCCCACCTTGTCTCAACAACTCACAACCAGTTACTATTTACCAAGAACACTTTCTTGACTACCATGCAATCCAACACAAGTATATGCAGGGAGCTGTCGTCGGTGGCTTCCCCACAACCAGATCTCTCCTCTGAAGAACTTCCCTCCTTGAGGAAAAGCATTCAGATTCAGCAGGTTTAAAGCAACATTAATTTAACTGAGTATTTTGTTTTTAATGGATGTGTGGTTTGGTTTTTATTTTTAAACTGTAGTTATCTACCCCAAGACTATGCAAAGGCGTGAGAGGGAGATATTGAACTAAGCAAATAACACACAGTAAGACTCAGTATATTGACCTTTTAAAAAATATCATCAGTATGTTTGACCATTTTTATCAACTATTTGCTAACATAGAAAAGTTCTCCTTTAAATAGCAGTCATTATGACGGGTCTCCAAGCATGGCGGGTGGAGAGTTGAATTCTTGTCTTTGTTTTATTATTTTTTTGTTTCTCCCTTCTGAAGCTCTGTGGCAGGGAAACTGCGTACAGTGGTGCCTCGCAAGACGAAATTAATTCGTTCCGCAAGTTTTTTCTTCTTGCGAGTTTTTCGTCTTGCGATGCACGGTTTCCCATAGGAATGCATTGAAAATCAATTAATGCGTTCCTAGGGAAACCGACTTCAGACCAGGTCCGGGGACAGTCTGTCCCCCGACCTCTTCTGAAGGCTGGGGGGGGGGGACAAGGGCTTTTCTTCCCACCCACCCCAGCATTTTAAAAAACCCCGGGACAGCGGAGGGCTTCTCCGCTGTCCGGGGCGATCTTAAAATGCTGGCGGGCGGCATTTTAAAATTGCCCCGGGACAGCGGAGGACTTCTCCGCTGTCCGGGGCAATTTAAAGCCCCTGGGAAGGCAGGCAGGGGGACAAAGACTTTGCCCCCGCCAGCCTTCAGAAGAGGTCCTGGACCTCTTCTGAAGGTTGGCGGGGGCGAAAGTCTTGTCCCCCCCACCTGCCTTCAAAAGCTGTCCAGCCAAGGCTTCGCGGACCTCTCCGCAAGCAGCGGCAGCACTGCCGCTGCTTGCGGAGAGTTGCCGGCATGCCGAAGCCTGCGCGCGCTGAGATCAGCGCGCCCAGGCTCGCGGACCTCTCCGCGAGCAGCGGCAGCGCTGCCGCTGCTTGCGGAGAGTTGCCGGCATGCCGAGCCTGCGCGCGCTGAGATCAGCGCGCCCAGGCTTCGCGGACCTCTCCGCGAGCAGCGGCAGCGCTGCCGCTGCTTGCGGAGAGTTGCCGGCATGCCGAAGCCTGCGCGCGCTGAGATCAGCGCGCCCAGGCTCGCGGACCTCTCCGCGAGCAGCGGCAGCGCTGCCGCTGCTTGCGGAGAGTTGCCGGCATGCCGAGCCTGCGCGCGCTGAGATCAGCGCGCCCAGGCTCGCGGACCTCTCCGCGAGCAGCGGCAGCGCTGCCGCTGCTTGCGGAGAGTTGCCGGCATGCCGAAGCCTGCGCGCGCTGAGATCAGCGCGCCCAGGCTTCGCGGACCTCTCCGCGAGCAGCGGCAGCGCTGCCGCTGCTTGCGGAGAGTTGCCGGCATGCCGAAGCCTGCGCGCGCTGAGATCAGCGCGCCCAGGCTTCGCGGACCTCTCCGCGAGCAGCGGCAGCGCTGCCGCTGCTTGCGGAGAGCTGCCGGCATGCCGAAGCCTGCGCGCGCTGAGATCAGCGCGCCCAGGCTTCGCGGACCTCTCCGCGAGCAGCGGCAGCGCTGCCGCTGCTTGCGGAGAGTTGCCGGCATGCCGAGCCTGCGCGCGCTGAGATCAGCGCGCCCAGGCTTCGCGGACCTCTCCGCGAGCAGCGGCAGCGCTGCCGCTGCTCATGGAGAGTTGCCGGCATGCCGAAGCCTGCGCGCGCTGAGATCAGCGCGCCCAGGCTTCGCGGACCTCTCCTGCCTTCAAAAGCCGTCCGGGATAGCGGGAAGCGCTTCCTGCTATCCCGGACTGCTTTTAAAATGCTGGCGGTGGGGAGCAAAGCCTTCGGCCCCCGCCAGCCTTCCTGGACCTCTTCTGAAGGCCGGAGGGGGGGGGAAGGCTTTGCTCCCCACCGCTAGCATTTAAAAGAGGTCCCCGGAGATTTCCCTATGGGCTTTCGTCTTGCGAAGCAAGCCCATAGGGAAATTCGTTTCATGAGCGCCTCCAAAACGGAAAACCCTTTCGTCTAGCGGGTTTTCCGTCTTGCGAGGCGTTCGTCTTGCGGGGCACCACTGTAGTTCTAGCAGAGAATGGATACTTGCATACGTACTTTGGGAAAGAGATTTGTGTTTGGTCAATGAAAGAGAAAACAAGCTAGGAGGTGATAAAAATGTCAAGGTCATAATGTTCATGGAAGCTTTTTGACCAGCCAGGAATTTTTATTAATTCTTTAAATGCAAATACCTAGGCACTGTGGACATGTTCCATACCTCCTGCAGAGCACTAGGTGGAAAATTACAATTAGCCTCCCAGAACGAAAATATAGTCCCAAGCACAAGAAGCCAAATTCTCCTTGTACAGAGATGCAAATTTATCCCCAGAGTCCCTCAGAATGTTCACTATTAGGATCGTATCAGGTTACAATGGTGTTTTGGCCCAAGACCAGGACTTGTTTGGCTTCAGGGATGCTGTAGAAATGTTTCCAGTTCCTGGGTGACAAATATGCATATTGAATATTAGGTACGGGTTCCATCCAGTGGTGGATTTGTGCTAAGTGGAAGCACTTCTGTGGCTAGTGCAAGGTGAGGCACCTCATTTTTATCATTCCTGCCATACTACTTGTAGCCCTTTGGGGTCTGTGCCATATACTACACTGTTCCAGAGGGTTCATGAACCCTTAGGAGAAATTTTAGGGGCTTTGGGGGCATGGAAATGTTGCATTAGGTAGGAGGCATCAGTGAAAAATCTGATGTCCTACCTCGTCCAAGGGGATGCACTTCAACAAGTGCAAAGCCACTGCTGTGAATACAGCCCTGTGTGTCTGATTCAAGTACATTCTGTGTTCCTGTGAATACCATCAAAGTCTGTGAGATACCTTACCAGTTGACAGGGCCAGCAACCCACTAAGGGTGCATTCCTATTTCAAATGAATTACAGTAGTTCCATTGAGCTCAATGGGACTTACTTTTGAGTAGACATGCATAAGATTGTGCTGTCAGAGAGAGTTTATAAAGCCTAAATCATGCTACATTTTCTATTCCCTTCCCCCATTTTATTTTTTGCTCCACATACTCAGTGGATATAGTTTATTAGATGTGTTCACCTGGGAATTTTGGTGTTGCCCTGAAGAGCAAATTAAGATGAGGAGGCAGTAAGAAAACAGGTAGCCTCAGGATTCTACTGCCTTGCCTGACAGCATCTGAGGAAAGAGCATTGAAACTAGGCCACCCATTTGCTGGTTCTAGACTTGCTTCAGGTCCCTCTTTGGTTAGCTTGGCTTGTTTTAGTTTGGTTGCCAGGTCCACTCTCTCACCTCCGTCGTTAGTTTTTTCCTCCCTTCCAATCCAGGTGTGGTCAACTGACCACTCATAAGAATGGAGGTTTCTTGGATTATTTGCTTCATTAGCCTTTAGCTAATGGGGCCTCCTGCTGTTGCCGCGCCGCCAGAGCACGATTTCTGTTCTCATCCTGAAGCAAAGTTCTTAACCTGAAGCACTATTTCTGGGTTAGCGGTGTCTGTAACCTGAAGCGTATGTAACCCGAGGTACCACTGTAATTGTTTCTTTGTCTACAGTTGGGGAAATAATTTCCTTGGCACTAATGTTCTCCTTCTAGGAGTGATATAATAATTATCTAGTTCATTTCCCAGAGCAGAAAAAAAGTTATTTATCCTCAGTGTCCCTTTATGGTGTTTACACAAGAGGTATTCTTGTGAAAAGTCAACTTCAGGTCAGTGTTTGGTTTCAACACCAGTAACCACCTGAGTACGAATCACAGCTAGTGCTAGCAGAATCTATTGTCTGTAGGAAACTGCACAAGCAAAATACCGGTACATTCAAATATTTGTTGACTTGATCAAATGGAGAGCTTTTCTTTTGAACAGGAAAGACACAAAATAGGACATGGGAAGCACGTAGGCAAGAGTCCACTATCAATTGAGTCTTACCGTGATTCCCTAGCCAGTGAGTTAAATTGGAGTTTAAAGACCCTCAACAATAATCTTACTACAACATAAAAATTGCATACAAGTAATAATAATACGATACTATTTAATACATATTTAATACAAAGCATACAAAGCAAATGTTTACGGTGAAATCAGATACTCAAACATGGAACTCAACTTGGTATTAATAGTCTTCTGGATTACTCTATGCCTGCACATGTAGTGTCAACTAGCAAATTGTGTGGTGGGGCTGCACCACTCACTTGACCTCCCTCTGGCTGAGTTGCTACTGCATACCAACGGGGACAAGTTGGAAGTGAGGCCAGCATGGTGCAAACATGCTGGCAGAGCCAATCTGGTCTCCTGCCAGTGCTTGCACCACACCAACTGCTGCACTGCCTTGCTCCTGGAGGTGGGTCAGGTGACCAGCATGGCCCCACCACACCTTCTGCGACTGGTAGTATCTATACAATATGTGTGTGTTATTGTTTTCGTGTGTGTACAGAAAGATATAGGTGCATATCAGTTCTTACAAATCCTTCACTTCAAAAAAAAATGCATTATTGGTGTTTTTTCTTCAGTACCAGTGGGTATACTGAGACCACTGGCGGAGGAAGAGGAGTGCGGGGGGAGTGCACTGCCCCTGTCAGCATGATCCCAGTGGATGTGCGCCAGGCCCACCCCCGCCTGCTCTCTGCCACTGACTAAGATGAGTGATTTTCTTCCATAAAAGCAGGTGGTGAGGTTACCACTTGTAGCTTCTATTGCATGTCTGCATAAAATATGAAGAAAATGTGATGTTGACCACTTCTTACAGGGTATTCTCATTCTTTGTCATTAGAATGTACTAAGGATTTCATGGGATAATTTTTGTCCTCTGCACAAAAATAGATCACTTCTTTTCCAAGCTGCTGTGACTTCCAAGCTGTCACTCTTAATGAATGACTGTATGTACCAGTATGGAGCTGTGAGGGCCCAGCAGCAGTCAGTCTCCGGTTGGTCAGGTTTTGAGATCCATGTAAGGGCCTTATTGTCAGTGCAGGGAGGGGAGCAGAGGCCCCAACCCATTAGCCTAATTTGTACCAGCTTTCATTCAGTATTATTTCCTCTCATGGATCTGTCTTTATCTGTATCAATTCCAGCTGGCTGCATCAAGGTGAAAGTGAGTTGCCTCCATCAGCGCAGGTCGCCTTGCCCCCCATCATTTGACTCATGTCCTTCTGATTTATGCTGTGGCTCTGGGGACCTGAATTTATTTATGTTCTTCTTCTCTCCTTTACTTTTTTTTATCTTGTCTATTATAAATTGTAAGCTATTAATTTAAGATATAAACAGCCATTTATGTCTTTGCACTCTATAAATAAACTAAATAAATAAGACAATGAGTCAATGGCCACTGGATATCCACAGAGCTCCACCACCACCCTTGTCGCTTCATTTTCCAACTCACAGATGGAAAATGACAAAAAAGAAATATGGCAGGGAAAGTATTAGGTAAGGAGGGATGGGTGAGCATCTACATCCACTATGTGGGCCTGAGGCTGCCACAGCTGGCAGCTCTTAAGAAAGCAGAACATAACTGGAAGAAATACCAGCCAGGTATGGTGTGCTTGAATTAAAGAAGCCTTTTGAGGATGTTATGTACTGAGTTGAATGGGATCTAAAATGCAGCAGTCTGATTGGTCCTAGAACAATAGGATTCAGAATGCAGCAGTCTGATTGGTCCACAGGAGCCACCCAATCCAGCTCCAGGTGGAAGTGAATCCGCAACCTGATTGGCCTACAGGAAAATCCTGGAATTAGCCAATCATGTGGGGCCCATTGTGTAAATAATGTATATAAAGCAGACATTCTGGGGGAACTCCCATTCCTCCTCACCACTATGAGCTGAATAAAGAGCATGAAATCCACTCTCGACTCAGAGTATATTTCAGAGCACTTGGCACAAAACTTTTAAGATCAGCTTGGGTGGGGAAGACACAGCTGCCAGGCTTAGGATGTTAGCAGGTGGAGAGTTAATATTTCTTCAAGGATACCAGCTTGCTTAACTCCAAAATTAGGGCCTACCAGAAGGTATTTTTATGCCCAATCTTTTGTTCTAGGCACTGGGTTATTTTAATATTTCAACATGCCTTGAAGTTTTTCCATATATAGAATATTTCCAGAAATATTTTTCCTGCTTGTTTTTCTCCCTGTGGCCCTGTCCTCCCTCAGATTAGTGAGGGACATGTGTAAATATTTTTCTTACTGAACTGTGGGAAAGGAGCTATGAGCTGCCTTGACCTTCGTGCAAGGTTAGATTTCGGAACTCACTGTCATTGGGGAAAAAAATCAACAAGAAAGTACAGAAACCTTGGGGACCAGCAACTTTGGCGACTTATCAGTAAGCTATCTCTTCTCTTCAGTGTGCTAGGAAGTGGCTGCTAAGGAAAGTTGAGTGTTTTTTTAAAAACACTTCACTATTGATATGGTACCAAGTAATCATATCTAAAAACAGAGAGTGCATATTTGTTCCAAATTTGCTTCGTTTATTTATGCCAATGCTAGCTCCCTATTTAGATACTTTGGTAGTACCAGATGTTCTTATAATTTTCTGCAACATATACATATCCCTGAAGATTTAGCCCATGGACGTAATTATACTAAAATACCATCTTTGTGTAATTTTCCATTGCGCACAGGCAATTTCTCTTCTGCACTGTCCATAAGTGACATAATGTGGAAATAGTTCCCTACTGGATATATTTAATTCCAGATCAGTAACAAAAAGAGTTCACAGCCAAGTGAAAGATTCATTTGCTGATTTTTTTGGGGGGGGGAGTGTAGAAAAACTTATTGGATATTGGAGTATTTATCCCCTCTTCCTTCTTGGCCCCTGGAATTGGACTCATGCTGGATCATGAATGAAGTATGGGGTGTTTTTGAACTAAGTTGAAATTAATTGAAAGTCAGTGGGTTTACTCTGAGTAAAACTTAGCTGAATACCACCCATGGTCTATAATATTGCAGTGACAATGACAGTGATGCTATACTGAATATACCGTAGAGGAAGGAATGTCTCGCCAGAGTTCACAGTGTTACCTTCAGGAGAGTGCTCATACCATTTTCCAAATGAAAGCTAGATGTACCGTATGTTTCTATTTGTCATGGAAAAGGGAGCACGTTTTACTTCATGATCTTTGGGGATACTTGCAGTACTGTGAATGAGGTTTCTCAGTGTCATTTATGCTATGGGAAGCTGCTCTTGGCATGTGAAACTGAGAGCTCGTTATATTTCTTTAATTAAGAGACACAAAAATGAGGAAATCCCTTTTCGCAAAGTAACTACGTGGTCTTTTGAGAATGTAGTGCCATCAATACACTGCTAATGCATGTAGACATTCATGTGAATCAGCCCTAGCAAGACTTTTTCTCAGAGTCAATAGAAATCGACAGACCTCATCTGCAGCACCATTAGAGAAGAGAGAAAGCGTACAGCCTCCAAATGAAAACTCCACAGCACAAAGGATTGCTGTAGAGGATTTTGCAGCTTTTGTTGTTCACAGTGGAGCTAGCTGGATATTCCTTGTACTAAAGTGATACAACAGAGGAGTACAAAAGCTTCAAGCATGATCATTAAATAGTACCTACATTGTGGGGTGGGGAACTGTGTCACCAATCCTCATAATGTTATAGGTAAAGGTAAAGGTAAAGGGACCCCTGACCATTAGGAGTTGCGGCGCTCATCTCGCTTTATTGGCCGAGGGAGCCAGCGTACAGCTTCCGGGTCATGTGGCCAGCATGACTAAGCTGCTTCTGGCGAACCAGAGCAGTGCACAGAAACACCTTTTACCTTCCCGCTGGAGCTGTACCTATTTATCTACTTGCACTTTGACGTGCTTTCAAACTGCTAGGTTGGCAGGAGCAGGGACCGAGCAACAGGGGCTCACCCGTCGTGGGGATTCGAACCGCCGACCTTCTGATTGGCAAGTCCTAGGCTCTGTGGTTTAACCCACAGCACCACCAGCGTCCCATCATAATGTTATAGGCACCATCAAATGGAGGTCCATGACACATGAGTGATCAGATTCCATAACAGGAATAAATGTGTTAATGGTGCACATGTGTGTGTAGAGGGCATGGTGGTGGTGAATATCGTGTGAGAAGAAACCCATTTTTCTTGTGAAAAAATATTGTATATTTCCTTTTAATCTTATGGACAGGGTTCTAGAAAATATGAATCCACAAGAAAAAATATTTGGAATCATAGTATATTTATTATATACATAAAATATAAAAACAAAATTTCAAAACAGTAACATTTTTGTGAATCCACAGGACCACAATAGAAAACATACCTATGAACCATGGATCAGTGAAGTGTTGTTATTTCAATGGTATAATAGCTCTTCCTTTATTTTTTAATGTATATAAATGGGATACATTTTGTGTCTGTTTACCAGAGAAGTATAGAATCTAGTGATGAATATGGCATTGATATTCCATAAATTTACACTATTTTGAAAGTTCTGTGTAGAAACAGAAAGAAAGAAACTTGCTGCTCAAGTTTAAATATTATAAAACAAAGGCCAAAGCCAGCATGAATTATGAACAAGTCCATGACATTTCAAAAAGCATTTCCCCCCCCCCCATCCTTGTTTTCTCTTTTGGTGGTATATACAGTCTCATCATAGCTGATATTTATAGAATTAACCCATTAGTCTGAAGTTAAGACTTCATCTGAAATATATTAATTGCAAAAAATTACCCTTGAACTTTACTGAGTGGCCATTGGCATAAATGAATGAAAACTATTCCTTTTATCCTTTATAGTCGTGGAGTGCTTCTGTTCCAATATTCATTTTCCTGCGCCACCTCTGTTCCCCAACAATATTAGAATTTTCACACTGAAAGGGGGCAGGCAATAAAGTGCTTTATACAATCAAATGCTTACATGTGTATAATACCTCATAAAATAGAAGTGTTCCCATTTATACTTTATGGAACCAGTCTTTTCTTAAAACCAAAATTTTGATGAAAGGGGATAGGTTCTGCTTTCATCTGTGCTGGCTCAAAAACAAACCAGAGTCCAACTTGGGTGTTGCAACATATTCCCCTTGGTTTAACTAACTAGAAAATTCCATCCAGAATCTTTTTAAGTGCCCCAAATGAAAATCTTATTAACTCCTTTTTAAGGATGTCCCACAGAGCCCTGTTGGTTAAATGCATGCCCTAATTAGTTATTACAGATTACTGACTTTGTATGTTTTCCAGTGGAGTTTTCCCACCAATATTGGTGTTATTTCCATACATGTATACTTCTAGAGATTTGCAGTAGACATTTAATCAAAACCTTCATCTTAGTTTTAATATACCAGTATAAAAAACCCCCACATTCCCTTGCTTCTCTCTAAATTGGTAGTCCTTTTGTCCGTTACTAGTGTATATTCATCTTCCCAAAGAACATGAGAGTGGGGTTCCAATTTTCAGATTCCTCAGTTGGTGCCAGTTCCACATACTTTAATGGGGGGTAAACAAAACACTTGTACAGCTGGACCCTAAAGCAGTATTGTCTATAAAGATTTAATTTAAGGGCTGTGACATAAGCCATATTTTGCTGAATAAATGAAATTTATTCCCAGGCAGGTTGGTCCAATACAGACAAAGTCTATGAATGCAGTTCTGCCCATGGAGATCCTTTTACTCCACTAAATAGATGATTGGTGGAAATAGATGATATGGGTAGGAGTATTGCAGGAGTGCAGCTATGCATGCACAGCCTATTATTGGACTCACTTATTACAAGACCTCTACTCCCCCTATACAATCAGCTGAAGCTATTGGATGGGTGGGGGCTCCGCTTCTCTTGTGAGGGTTTCACCCACAAACACTGTTTATACATAAGTGTTGCAATTGGGACCAAAGTGTTTAAGAATCAAAGTGAAAGGCTATGACTTTGAATACCTCTACACATACTTGGCACTATTCCTTTCCATTCCAGTTTTCATTTTGAGAGCCTTCTTCCCATAGCGTTTGCATTTTGTGCATAAACAAATGCCCTATTTGGCACTTTCAGCTACAATCTTTTAAAATTTCCAAGACATTTTTCCCCAGAGCGGGTTTCCATTGCTGGACAAAACTTTTCATATTGACTATGAGTCTGCCTGCTTGAACATCTTCATATCCAGCCACAAGATATTTCAAACCTTTGAAAACAAAATAGTCAGATATTTATTGGACTAGTACTTCATATTTATCCAAGTATGCAATCATAAAGGGAATTTACTTTTTATACTGTAAACCACTCTGTGATCTTCTGATGAACGGCAGTATATACATTTAATAAATAAATAAAATAAAATAGTTGTGTGTGCATATGTTTTGTGCATGTATGCATGTACATGTGTGTGTGTACGCGTGCATAAAAAAGGTAAAGGTACCACTGACCGTTAGGTCCAGTCGCGGATGACTCTGGCATTTGTCTGCAGACAGGCTTCTGGGTCATGTGGCCAGCATGACGAAGCCGCTTCTGGCGAACCAGAGCAGCGCACGGAAAACCCATATACCTTCCTGCCAGAGTGGTACCTATTTATCTATTTGCACTTTGACGTGCTTTTGAACTGCTAGGTGGGCAGGAGCTAGGGCCGAGCAACGTATGTGTATAATGCATATCTTTTTAATCCAGAAAGTATCTTACATTAAAGTATCTTTAATGTAAGAGGACAGGAGGCAATTTTGTTCATATTATACCTTCTCAATGCAGCCCTCTGATAAACTGTTCCACAGAGTTGGGGGGACCCTTTATATTAGAGTACAGTGGTACCTCGGGTTAAGTACTTAATTCGTTCTGGAGGTCCATTCTTAACCTGAAACTGTTCTTAACCTGAGGTACCACTTTAGCTAATGGGGCCTCCCACTGCCGCTGCGCCACCACCGAGCAATTTCTGTTCTCATCCTGGAGTAAAGTTCTTAACCCGAGGTACTATTTCTGGGTTAGCGGAGTCTGTAACCTGAAGTGTCTGTAACCTGAGGTACCACTGTAGAAGTTGCGGGGCAACTGTAGGAGGAATCACCTCCTTTTCTCACAAGTTAGCATATGCTTCTATTCCATCAAAAAGTCATTCTGTGCTAAAAGTTGCACAGTGCAGTTTACTCTTATGTAAACTGTGCCGTTTACTCTTACTCAACACTCTTATGCAGTGCACCAGTCTGGCTCACTTTTGTGCTTAATTGCATTTGGTTTGTGAAACTTTACTCCTTTTGTTGGGTAGATGACAGAGCTACAGTATCACAAGCTCTGAAATGATCTCATCTGAGAAATTATTGCAAACGAGGTTTTTTTCCCTAGTAACTTTGAGGGTTTTTTTTAATGGTGAGACCATTTTACAAAGATACTTCACTATCCAAATATTACATAGTAAATCTACCCTCATAGCTCATTCAGTAGATCATGAGACTCTTAGGGTCATGGGTTTGAGCCTCATAATGGGCAAACAATTCCTGCACTGCAGGGCATTGACTAGATGACCCTCATGGTCCCTTCCAACTCTGCAATTCTATGATTCTATTATTTTAATACCTCCAAAGGAGAATAGGTACTTTGGAATCCACGGTCTATTGTTTTCAAATAATTGACCAGAGAAGCAGGTGTCCTTGAACTAATAATTTACTGAAACAGAAACTCTGGATCTAATTTGTATGTGCATGCAAAGGCCCATTCAAATACAGAATGTCTATCTGTACTTTATTATTTTAAATGAGATGTGTGTTTAGATATACATTGAGATGTGCCAGAATGTGGATGGGAAAGCACAGCTAGTCATATATAGAAATATATGAATATAGAAATATTTTTATGCATGACTAGAACTGGCTCAAGAAACATAAATTTCAGTTTAATGCAGTGATTGTGTATATTGAGTGCATCTTCGTTGATTTGCAAGCACAACCAATGCAGGTGTGATGGGAATATCTTACATTCTTTGGAGACAGGGTAACACTAGCTGCATTTTTTTTCAAAATCTTGGGGAAGGAATTCTGCTTGTGTGCAGTTATGAGAGAAGATTCAAATTGACAAACACTGTGGCAGGGCTTTGATAATGATTAGTGCATGATATAACAGGTCCAAAGTGAAGCTGAAATTGAAAGGATTGTCTAGCATCACATTAAATTGCTTTAATTAGTAAGAACAGTGATTGGCATTTTAGTTTTCTGGAGTATCTATGTAATATTTTTTTCTACCACAAGAATGTGGAATATAATTTATATGTACTGACTATAAGAGTGGTTTTGATGGACATAAATAGTAAAAATAAATAAATGATGATGATAAAGACCTGATTTTCATAATAAATACCTACCAGGATTAAGTACTGGGCAAGTGCAGCCTCTGTTAGTCCATGATTCTGGGTACAGAATCCGCTTCCCTCGTAAAATCTTAAGCTTTGTAGATTTCAGTACTTTTTGGATCTTCACATTGACCTCAGCATGGGAGCCTTTATCATGAGCAGATAAAATCTTTGCCTTCAGCACTGAATAAAGAATATAACTTCTGTTTTCATTCTAGTACATTGGTACATAGATTAATCTTAGGCACCATCAGTGTGTGCACTGCAAACTGAGCCTCTTTGTATTTTCAGGGTGGGTGTAATTGTTGCTACGGTTAGTGTGATATAGAGATATTTCTATATATTTCATCTGATGCAAACAGAAAAGCTCTTGATTTAGTCGAAAATAAACTGTGCCAGATCCTCTCCTTGATGAGCCTGTTCAGCCTTTGCCAAAGACAGGGTGCAGGGAGATGCTCAGTGACCTGATTTTTTAGGAAATACTGAGCACATACACAGCTGCTTCTTCCCATTGGAATTACTTGGAACTGCTGCTAAGCTGTCATTTAAAACTTTTTCACAAAACTACAAAATACAGCAATGGTTTCCTGTAGCCCGACTGCCTGTTCCCATTATAGGCTTAAAATACATGTATTTTGGCAAAGAGAAGTAATCAGTTTAAAATAATCTAGCCATTTAGAGTTACATAGTTTGGTTCTTAGAAATTTACAGATTAAAAAGTGCCTGGGAGTTTCTCTCTCCCCCCCCATCCCCCATAAGCCATGCATGGATGAATTTAAACTGATAGAGTCTCCCTTTGAGAACTAGTAGTCTAATTGGCATCACAAAAAGGACTTTATATTGGTGATAATTTATAGAAAAAGAGGTTTGTCTACATATTAAATGCTGGTTTTCTCCCAGGACACATTTTCTAGGCAAATAGACCATTTATTAGAAGATAAAAAATGTTGGAGAAATTGTACATAGCAGACAAAATATGCATGCAGCCATGCAGGTCCAATAGAAATAAATTTGCAAGGCAAAACAAGTTGTATTACCAAGCAAGCAAAGTTCCAGTTTTGCTTGGGGGGGAAAGTCTATAACTCAGGGGTCAGAAACCATGGCACTCCAGATATTGTTGGTCTTCTGTATCTATTGTCTCTGACCATTGGCCATGCTAGCTGGAGCTGATGGAAGTTGAAATCCAACAAAATCTGGAAGGGGGTGGGTATCCCATCCCTACTATATCTAGTGCACCACTTAAATGAACCTCTAGTTTTCCTAATATAAATACTACCATATCTCCCCGTTGTAGTAGCTTTGTTGACAGTTTACACTGATAAGGAAACTGTTGACAGCATAGGCAATTTGAATAATATAGTTGATTTTTAACTCACCATATGTATATTTCATGCCACAGAAGATCTTGGAATTTCTTAAAACTTGGTCTTTACATTCACATTTTCCTACAGAAACACAAAAATACCTCTCTCTTTAAGCACTATTTGATGAAATATTTTAGTTACCATTATTTCATATTGTATTCACCAGAATGTCTAGATTCAGCTGCTAAACTGGGAGGGAATGGGATTGCTCATGTAATCAGATATAGTTTTGGAGGACAGCACTTTTCACAGAAGACTGAATGGATAGTGGCAACAGCATGTTACTAAACATTTTAAGTACTGAATGGAAAAGAATTTTTGTAGCTGCTCACTGGATCCTGGATATATCTATATCTACAGAGTGTGTGTGTGTTTTGGGTGTGTATACAGTATGGTTTATTTTTAGCTTGATGGAAAATATCAGCTGAGATTACATATCTGATATTCAAACAGTGAACCTAACCAATTATAATAAATAATTCCACGTGATCTATAGTTCATTTCAGATGTTATATGAACACATAGGAAGAATGAGATCACACACATGTGACCTCCACACGTTCGTTATAAAAACTGAAAGAGCCCCCAACAACAAAAAAAGCTTTATGCACAGAGGGCTCCCTCCTTGTGATCAGGAACTCAGGGGTCCTGATAGCATGGGAAAAGTAATCTGCACATATGTTTAACACCTGAAAGAGACTCCTATCTTTCAGTAAAAAATCCAAAAGTTCATATTCTTACCTGAATGTCGAAGGGCAGAGTAGCCTTGTTCATCCTCCCACCCCCATGCTGGTTCACTTTTGTTATACGGAGAATAAAAGCCAGGGATTTCATGGTACCAATCTATGTTTGCACTGCTGAAATTAAAGGAATGTTGTGATATGTTTCTATCAAACTCAGTTCAATTCAAGTTTATTTGTAAACAACCCTCCACACAAAAAAAACCCTTGACAAAGCTTAAGTATTCAGAATCAAAATTAAAAGAAAATATTTATTGTGCTAATTATCCATACTTCAAACATTTTTTCTGTTGTCAGAAAAGGGACTTACTTATCTGCAATTCATTTATAGATCTCACACAAGTTCAGAGCTTGGAAGAGATTTCTAGCAGTGCCTGGTAGAGTTTTTGGGATTATGATATAGTCACCCATAGCTAATTTCTTGCAGGAAGGGAAGTTCTCTTTTTTTCCTTCTAAACTAGTCATGTGAGGGGGAATATGGAATAATAGAACGATAGAAGCATAGAGTTGGAAGAGACCCTGAGGATCATCTGCAACCTTAGCATTATGAGCAACATGCTCTAACCAACTGAGCTATACTTGTGCCTCTCCAATACTGTATATTTTTCCTGTTCCAATTCTTTCTTTCTTTTGTGGGAAGTGCTACCACTATGTCTCAATAACTTCAAGGTAAGACTTAGAAAAGTGATTGTTTCCTATTTCTGATGCATATCCCCCCTCCCCCAGTCAGATTAATTTAGTACTTAATCCTTTCAATCCAACTATAATGTGTGGTTCATGTGAGGCGTTACAACAACAACATTTTGTTCTAGAGCAGAGATGAGGAACATGTGGCCTTCTAGATGTTGCTGTGCTTCAACTCCCATCAGCCCCAACCAGCATGGCCAGTGGTCAGGAATGATGGGAGTTCTTATCCAAAAACATGTGAAGGGTCACAGATCCTCCATCTCTGGTCAAGAGGTTTTTCTACATCTCTAACCTTTTTATTACTTCTATTTCAAACATGTATTTCTTGTAGATAAACTCCCTGTCCTTATGTTAGCTAGCCATTTATAGTTAGCAATATGTTTGTCCACTCACTTATTGATGCAGTCTCCATTTAGTGGGTCACAGCTTCCTGCACAATCACATGCTCGGCAGCCATAATCTCCAAAGCCCCAGTATCCTACCATGCACCTGTCGCACTGAGGACCAGCCACTCCAGGTTTGCAGGGACAGTCACCATTGCTGGGATCACAGAAGGTGGTATTGCTAAAGGGAAGCACGGCTGATCCAACAGGGTGGCAGGAGCACACTGCAATATTAAAACATACATATGAGATGAACATATATGGGGAGAGAGTATATCCTAAAGGTGTCACCCAGCCTTAGTATTATTCTTGTTTTACATTCAAGGGTTCAAGAAATATAAATGCATGAATCTGCCACTGCCATTTGTAGTTTGGCCCTGCAAACAATGCAAATGTATGTTTTCTCCCTGCAGTACATTATTATAGTTTTTACTACTGTGGGTTTTACAGATACATGGCAGACTTATTGAAGTCTCACATGTGAAAATGCCCTGTATTGTTTCCCATACCAATCACTATGCCATTCCTTAAAAGTGTTGAGTGGAAAATTTCACCTTTTAGCTGTAATATGCTTGCAGTAAGGTGTGCTAAAAACACATGATCTCTTGCTTATTGGATAAATTGACTTAAAACTGAATCTGAAATTCAATATAACCATGGCCCTGGAGTATTAAAAGCAGTTCTCAACTCTAAACAAATGTTAACTGCTTTTGTACAACAGCCTCAAAATTTAGAATGCAGCAAATAAGCTCTGATTACTAGAACTTTCAGTTGAGTCTTGGATAACAAGATCCAAGTGTTACAACCATCTGTGTATGGAATACAAGTGTTTTAAATTTAATGACTGTAATCAGTTATGAACCTTCTTATCACCCCCGTGACATTGTAGCAGAGTCTTAAAAATTCATACAAGTTGTTAAAAATAGAAGAGGTGGGAGAATCTATGTAACCTTCAAGCAGATTGCTACAGTTGCCATGTTAAATAAGAGTATGCCCTGCTTTATCTAGTACATACACACTCCTGAACAAATATTACACATTGTTCACTTTGCTTAGTGTAGTTTAAGGATTTGTGGTTTAACAGCTCCTTCATTTGCTTTGACCTTGGAGCTTTTCCATTTTCGTTGCTCCTCAGTGAGTGAGCTGGCAATATCTGCAGAATTCCATTGTCTACGACTGTATATGAATAAGGTTATCAGACATGTCGTTATCAACACAAACTATGCAAGACACAAGGCCTTTTTCTGTCGAGATTGTAATCTCTGCTTGATCCCCTCAAAGCACAAGTTTTCTGTTCAGCTGGAGCTATCCAAAACACTCCTCACACTTTACACAGCAAGTGAAAAGCTGTGACTGAACAATTTCACGCAGGAAATATCTGTCTCCTCTCTTGGCTCTATCATGTGTCACTCTGACTCCATTGTTGTGGACTTTGCACAAATGATAGCAGCTGAAGATGAAACTGGGATGGCTGCCCAGGAATGAAACTCATTATGGCTTGGAGGCAACAGCTGAGAGGAATTTGCTTTGTATCAATAGATTTTTCAAGAAAAGAAAAGAAAAAAGTAAGCTGATCAGGAAGAGGAAGTCAGAAAAGAAAACTTGAAGGATCGATTGCTGTTATGGGGAAAGCTTTTACCATTTCTATAGATTGTATGCAAAATGCTTTACAATACTTATTCGTCCTCCCCAAAACCCTATTATTTCTTGTATTTTTAGAGATGCAGCTGAGACTGGAAGGCAGTTATTGTTATTGTTATTATAATAGTAGTATTTATTTATTTATTATTTATTTAAATTTGTATACCACCCTTCATCTGTGGTGGTTCACAGCATTAAAATATGAGATAAAAACACAAAATACATAATAAATACAAGAACAAAAACAAAACAATCCCCCCACCTGCTCCCACAAGCACATTTTAAAAAGAAACACAGAAGTAGTTCCAACATTCTTTGGGAACTTCCGTGATCACATTCACAGCAACATTTTGTGCCAGCTGCTGCAATCAAGGAAAACTGCTACCATCCAGTGTACTCAGCATATTCTTCCAGAGTGTACTTGCCTGGGAAGATTTGCGTTCCTTGAAAAACAGTCTTTTCTGGCCTGAAATAGTGCCCCCCGCCCCCCGGTGATTCTGACAGTCCATAGGTAATCTGGGATTTGAATGTCATCACTGTCAATCCAAATAAAATATTCTCTGTAGGCAACGTTTTACTCAGTAAAATGAGACTGAGGTGTTAGTGGATCTAATGGGTGAAGAATTCCAATCATGTGTATTTTTAAATATTTAGCTTAAGGGAAAAGATATTAGACAATGCTGTTCGTCTCCTCTGTACTACTGTTCATTGGCAAAAATCTTATCTCTAGGCCAGGGGACTACCCTTTTAAGCACCTCCAATCTTCAGGAAGGTGTGGAACCTGGGAGGGTAGTCAGGGTCAAGGGAAATAAAAGGAACTCTATACTATATAGGAGCAAACCGTCTTCTTCAAGCTGTCCTAAGTCCTGGTATTCACTCAAGTGTCCACCGTCTCTTGCAGCCTCCTGCTTAAGGTCAAGTTAGGATTTCCTGCTACATCTTCTGCCATGATTTGAACACTGCATCTACAACTACAGTTGCCACAAGTGGCATTTCACTGAATGCCAGAAATAGGGGTGATCAAATTGCAAAGGTACGCTAGGAGTATGGACAATTTATTTAATAAAATAGCTTGTATTCTGCAGAAACCTCTTTACATTTTGACTAAAAAAAGACTGTGTTCAGGATGGCTAACGATTGTTATAGATATTTTTGTTACCAGTCTTGAGCACTTTGTTTTTTAAAGTCAAAATGCAGAATATAAACTAACAACGTCTACAACAATTGTTAGCCATCTTGAACATGGTCTTTTTTTAGTCAAAATGTAGGAGGAGGAGTTTCAGCAGGTGTAGATTTTCTCATTTCCACATTACAAGCTGGGCCTTCCAAAACTCCCTTTATAACAAAAACAAAAGGTGAAGCTTTGTTGTTGCAGTTCATATTATTAGTAATTATAATACATCTACTTTGTAGAAGAGAATACTCTATTTATATGCTTCTTTAATCACTGTCATGGACAAGAATCCAGATAATAATAATAATAATAATAATAATAATAATAATAATATTTATACCCCACCCATCAGATGTACATGAATAAAACCAACCAACCAACAGAAACCACTGGCTTATCACTGGCTTTAAAAAAATCCCCATATATTGGAAGTTTGCTTGAATGTTCCTATCACAGCTACTTTTAGCTCCATCACCATTATTCTAAAGTACATATGGTAATGAATAGTAACTGGTGGAACTCCACAGCAAGCTCCTTGACCGGTAAACTGGCATTAGTTAGATATACTGCATAATGAAATATTTGAGGATTGTGGTTCCTTCATTTACAAATGTGAGGATACCAAACATTTTTTTTAACCTTGGCATGAGAATGAGCAGCAGAAAGATCTAGTATTTAAATATTCATAATATTGATAAATTCATATTAGCTTACATTTACAGGCATCTGGGGCAGAAAAGGGTCTTCTGAGGTCTCGGTAGTAGCCTGGTTTGCAACGCTGGCAGTGCTGCCCTTCTGTATTGTGTTGACAGTTATCACACACCCCACCACTTTGGTTTCTTGATGCCAGCCATGCGTCCAAGTCAAAGTGGCAAGAGTCAGAATGCCCATTGCACTTACAGGCTGAAACACAGCCAAGATAAGCAAAAAGACAAATTAAGGATGCTCTTTTAAAAAGAATGCAGAAAAAACCCTTACACATAATGAGAGCTGATTAATAATAAAATGAAATGTATATGTCAGCCTGGAGATGTTTCCAATATCTGCAAATTATCAGTGTTTAGTTACTCTGATGTACCAATTTAGAGTGAATCTGCTGCAAGTTACCGCAGGCCTTCCATAATGATGTTTTTGGTAGAATATGAAAATATCAAATCAAATATTTTGAAGACCAAATCAGATTATCCTATGACAGATACGCAAATCTAGTATAATTATTGCTGCTTCTGTATCTTCTGTATTATAAATTAAAACTTTAAAATATTTAGTGTTTCAGTGTCTAGTATAATTTATTTAGGTGCTCCAAGAAAAACTGAATAGCTCAAAATTGGAGAATTGAAGGGGGCCAAACAAATGTCACCTTCTTGGTAAAATGAATGAACATCTTAGTAAACTAAGGTGTTACCAATGTTTTAAAATGTTGTGGATAGTGGCCTTGGTTTTGGCTTTCTAATTTGTTTACCCAGGGTCATTTCTGCATATCCTGATAGCCCAGAAGCACTGCCATTAACTTGTTACTTACATCTGCATTCATTTGGAGTTCCTGTTCTGCCATTTGCCGCTCGCCATGGCTGGTCATTGTAGAGAGAAGCGCAGTGTTGACAATGCGTTCCTGCAGTATTGTGTTTGCACATGCACCTTCCATGGACCTAACAAAGGGGAAACAAACTGTGACAACTATGACTGTAGTGGCATTTCTAGAGATAACATGCAGGTGCACCTACAGCATTGTGAAATCACTGGTAATTTGGAAATGTGTCTGCCCGCTAACTGCTTGCTAACTGAATAGAAAATTGTTCTTTTCAGTTGAACCTGATTGCTTGCTCGCATGGAATTATTCCAGCATTGCAGCAATATCACAACACCTGCACTGAATAGGGGTCCTGTTCAGAATATTTGAAACGATACACTGAATGCATGGAGTGAGGAGGAAGAACCACTGCAATGTACCTTGGATCAAGCCTACACACAGCATCCTTGTGCAGAGACAGGGTCCCAGTTTTCATGGCTATATACTTGTAGGTTTATGCAACAAATCCCAAGGATTCATGTGCATAATCAATGCTCATTAAGATTGGCAAGAAGTTGTTTTAGAAGCAAATAAGGAAATATTAAGGAGGGTTTGAGGAACAGCAAAGCAGCTGTAGTCTCCTCCTCGGGAGCCAACTATCTCTCGGTCTTAGCTCCGCATTCACAATACAAGGATACTTGTTTGCCTTCCAGGGCTGTTGTAAGTTTTATGGAGATGATGTATATGAAACACTCTGAACATTTGAAATGTGCTATAAAAGTGCTAACCATTAATCATGGTAATAGCAGTATGCACCTATTATGCCTTCCCCTAGTTATTGGATAACCTGTACATTTATTTTATAAATTGTACTGAACCCCTTCCCATATCCACTTTGTGTTTTATGACAGCTTTAGAATTCTCCCCCCAAAAACAGTCCTCACATATATATTGCTATTGTGCTGTACTAAAATGCCATTGCTTAATTGCCGTAGGCCCCTCTTGATTAAGCACTAGTGAGCAGCTTCCTTTTGATGTCAAAAATTAGATTTGAAATTTGGATTAATGTTAGAGAATTTCTTCCACATCTTTTTTACTCTATTTTATTTACAATGAGTTATTTCTTTGTGGTAAATTACCCCATTAGATTTTCCTATCGGAATGTGGGTGATTCAGGGAGAGTAAACAGTGTAGGCAAGATAGCTTATCATTTGCTCATTGGTATGGCATACATGAGGGACACGGGTGGCGCTGTGGGTTAAACCACAGAGCCTAGGACTTGCCGATCAGAAGGTCGGCGGTTCAAATCCCCATGACAGGGTGAGCTCCCGTTGCTCGGTCCCTGCTCCTGCCCACCTAGCAGTTCGAAAGCACGTCAAAGTGCAAGTAGATAAATAGATACTGCTACGGCAGGAAGGTAAACGGCATTTCCATGCGCTGCTCTGGTTTGCCAGAAGCGGCTTAGTCATGCTGGCCACATGACCCGGAAGCTGTACGCCGGCTCCCTTGGCCACTAAAGCGAGATGAGCGCTGCAACCCCAGAGTTGGTCATGACTGGACCTAATGGTCAGGGGGCCCTTTACCTTTACCTTTATAGCATACATAGCAAAACTATAAACATCTAAGTAGCTCTGCACTGAACTTCTTGATCTGTACTTGACAACCAGAAAATACAGCTCTTATCAAGAAATTATTGGTAGCTAAATAGCATTAAAAGTTCATAAGAGAGAGAAAGAGAGACTCTTGTCACAGTTACAAATAGGCTGCTGCTCAGAATACCCTTCTGAGTGACTTTGCTCCCATTATATTTACAGGGCGTTTTAAAGACTCTTTGAGCTTGTTTGTCCAGACGAAGTTGCTGGCGAGAGATGATGTGAAGTTCTTTATAATGTGGAATGTTTTGGGTCTCATGGCACACCATATTTAGCCTTCAGAAGGAATTTCCCCAGGTCAAACTGGGCAATAATCCTAGTAATTTCTGACTTCCCCTGCAGCATCGGAATTGGATAAGTTCCTTGAAGCTATTTGTTCTGCCAACACCCTCTTTCTGCTTGAGATTTATTATATAAAAGGATCCTTGAGGAGTGGTAGATGGATAGTTGTTTGATCCTTCTTAGCTGTATGATTCTATTATCACAGTTGGAGTGTTTTGGCTCCTCTTAAATAAAAATATGGACTGAGTCATAAACGGGCACTGTAGAAAAGCTAGTGATGAGCGAGGAATGTCAAGAGGGAACTGGTGTTGCTTTTCATCCTACTCAGAATATAACAGTCTCTGGTTGAGAAGGTTGCAGAAGGATAGAATGTTATTAGTGTTATAGCTCCAGGTACAGTGGTGCCCCGCAAGACGAATGCCTCGCAAGACGAAAAACCCGCTAGACGAAAGGGTTTCCCATTTTTCGATGCGCTTCGCAAGACGAATTTCCCTATGGGCTTGCTTCGCAAGACGAAACGTCTTGCGATTTCTTGCGATTTTTTCCGCTCCCCCCCCTTTTTCTAAGCCGCTAAGCCGCTAATAGCCTTTTAGCCGCTAAGCCGCTAAGCCGCTAATAGCCGCCAAACCGCTAAACCGCTAATAGCGCTAATCCACTAAGCCTCTAATAGGGTTGCTTCGCAAGACGAAAAAACCGCTAGACGAAGAGACTCGCGGAACGGATTATTTTCGTCTTGCGAGGCACCACTGTACAGGCCTAAATATTCAAGCTGATGAAGAATGAACCAGAGAAAGGAAACTCTTTACGTTGAATAAAACAATCCATTCCTGGCAATGGAAGAGTGGGGAAAGTAACCATCCCAGAATATTTTTCTGGAAATTGCTATCTAACTTCATAACAGGCCAAAAAAAAAGGATCATGGTATATGCTTAAAGCAGGTGCCATGTTTGCTTAGAGCTCCATGGAAAAAAATATCTACCACAGCCTGCATAAGTTTGCTTATTAGTAGCAGGCCAACTAATCAGGACAGCTGTAGGTAATACTACAAGCTATTTGGGAAAGAGACCAGTGTCATATAGCTTCATCACAGAAATTTAAAAGTCCAGGTTTGTAAAAGGAATGAAATACATTGACAGGTATTTCTCCAGTCAAAAATTGCCACATGGTGCTTCAAGCCTAATAGTAGGTTGTAAGAATTGCATGACTGGGCAGCCAGCATGACACAAAGTATGAAATGGAAGTCCTGGGAGGGTGGTGAAACAAATACTCATGGATGGTATATATGTAAATCAGGTATTTGTAATTAGAATGTATTTTTTTTACACACAAGAAAGTCGGTTGTAAAAAGCAGGCCAGCAACTTGTCACACACATGGCACTGGCCATGTAAAAACAAGAACACACCAAACACATCCTTTCTGGCTCCCATATGTCCCAATTTGATAAATCAGGATATATATTCATATTTCTGTCGCTGGGGTTGCCATCCTTTACCCATTTCCCTGAAAGTTAGCCCCACTGAACTCAGTCAGAATGACTTCTGGAGTAGACATATATAGGATTGCACAGTCATGAACAAATAATGAGAAAGCAGATTTTGAGAATAAAAAAGATCTAAAGAAGTTGGGGAAGTTAAATCAATAAGAAACAGCTGCTGCTGCCGCCGCCACCACAAAGAATATAATTCTGCACTAGAATGATCATATGCATGGCTCCAGTTTGATTTGCAGCCAGCCACGATGCATTTGTGACGACTAAACCAGAATGTAAACATTTTCCAGCAATTTTCATTTACCCCCGTACTATTCATTTTGAATCTTTATGAGACATAGCTAAATGACACATTTCCCAGGATGTTTCACTGTTTTGTGAATTGACACAAGTGAGTTCATTTAACCAGAGTTCTTTTTTTCACACTATATTTCATTCTGTCATTAGCCCTTTCCATTTTACTCCACTTCCAGACTGCTTTCTTTCTTAGCTTGACAGCTCTCTGGTAATGTCACTCATTATACTGTGCAAGGCAAACAGTGTTACAAAAGTTGACTTGTGTAAGATAAATTAGTGACTGATTTTCACACATGAAGACAGTTGCTAGGGCATGTTTCCTCCCATTGCCTTTTTGTTCCTCAATTAATATATTCAATTACTTCTTTTCAAATTGTCTGGGTTTTTAGAAAATACTTCATGACTTATGTTCCTGAATGTACTATACTGAGAAAGAAGCAACTAACAGCTCTTGTGCACTAGAAGACCTGTCCCCCCAAAAAAACTTCCCTTTTGATTAGTATTGTTTATATTGCATAATGATTTGAATTGTACACTACTATTGCAGCTTTATTATGGTAGATGTTATAGGGTTTTTTTACTGAGACAATGTAAATCTTCACACAAGGGACAATATCGAAAGGATAAAAGGGGAATTAGTCTTTAGAAAATTGTTTTTAAATTGTAGCTGTTATATTAGCTTTTTTCCACCAAAATAAACAGGAAAGTGCTACTGAGGGTAAAAAAATTACCACAAGGAGAGTATATAAAATAAAGGTGGCTTTGGATTTTTAGTAAAATATGTGTTGACTAAAACATGTTCATATATTCTCATATTGACCCTACTCTACAAAATTTTATATATTTTGGAGAATATTTTGAATTATGTTTGTTTAATTTATTTAATTTATTTTTATTTTAAAAAAATTATATAGCACTTGATTGTAGGGGGAAAATCCATTTCTAAGCAGTTTACAATAAAATAAAATGAAACATTAAAATTATTGATGAAAAAAGGCCAAAAAAATGTTTTGAAATACTCAAAGGACATGCAGTTTCTACGTGTCTACGTGTCTGATAGGCTTGCCTAAACAAAGATGATTTAAGCAGGCACCAAAAGGAATACAGCACAGTGATATCACTGCCAGATATCAATAGGCAGAGTTTTAAAGCATAGGTGCTGCCACACTAAAAGTTCAGAACAAGTACAGTGGTACCTCGCAAGACGAATGCCTCACAAGACAAAAAACTCGCTAGACGAAAGGGTTTTTCGTTTTTTGAGCTGCTTCGCAAGACGATTTTCCCTATGGGCTTGCTTCGCAACACGGAAACGTCTTGCAAGTTTGTTTCCTTTTTCTTAACACCGTTAATACAGTTGCGACTTGACTTCAAGGAGCAACTCATAGAACGCAGTGTGGTAGCCTTTTCTGAGGTTTTTAAAGACTTTGGTGATTTTTGAAGCTTTTCCAAAACTTTCTCGACACCGTGCTTTGCAAGACGAAAAAAATCGCAAGACGACAAAACTCACGGAACGAATTAATTTCGTCTTGCGAGGCACCACTGTATTAAGGGACACCTGTAGTAGTGCCAGTTCTACTGATTGAAATGGTTGACTAGGCATATATGGGGTAAGGTGGTTTCGCAAGGTACCTGTCAGCAATACCAAAAAGCTAAAATGATCAATGTGGGTGCCTGAATGGAAATATTTTATAATTATATCTTGTAAATAACACGCAACTGCCATTACACTTCTCCCTCTGTCCTACCAGTATTACTTGAGCACTATTCAGGCTACATTCACTGTACTACCAGTAGTTTTAAATTGTAATGCACTGGCCTTGCTTTTGATTTGATTTGCTAGATTGAAATATACTCAGAGTCACAAAGTGATTTCATGCTCTTTATTCAGCTCATAGTGGTGAGGAGGAATGAATAAAAGTCCCCTCAAAGTATCTGCTTATATACATTATTTACACAATGGGCTGCACATGACTGGCTAATTCTGGAATTCTACTGTAAGCCAATCAGGTTGTGGATTCACTTATATCTGGAGCATGATTGGGTGGTTCCTGCCAACCAATCATACTGCTGCATTGTTCTAGGACCAGTCAGACTGCTGCATTCTGAATCCTATTGTTCTAGGACCAATCAGACTGCTGCAGTTTGGATCCTATTCAACTCAGTACATAACATAGATTATTAAGTCTTGCCACACTATGTTTTTGCTTATCCTTCTTTGTTATCATTCTGCTACAACTCTTGCAGAACAAGTACATGAGAGAAATATAAACCAGGACAATTTATGTTACATACACAGCAGTCTTGGGGATTGCCAGCTGAAATGATCTAGTCTATGTAGCTAGTTTGAAAAACTTTCCACCAGGGAAACATTTTATGAAAACTAAAGGTTTTGCTGTTTGTTAGATTTGCAAGCATTCATATTTGTGAATGCTTGTTGTAATATGTTTGTTTTTCACATTGGGAAATAAAGCAGATCTCAGATTAGGTGTTTTTTCCAACATAGATCAGATTGGGTGCCAAATCATATCACCAATACAGGTATAATTTAGGCCTTGTCCTTGAAAACAGCTCATCTATCAGTTTCTCCCTCACCTCTGCTGAATCCTGCAACTTACTGCTTCTTTTCAAAGATCTATTTCAGGTTCTACACCCCTGTGAAATCAGAACTTGTGAGATGGGTGGTATACAGCTCATGCACTAATCAGGTTATATAAAGACAGTACATAGAAGCAGGCTTGTATCAGAGCTGCGTTGGACTGCCAAAATATGAATACTGTTAGCTTCTTTTCACATTGCGAACCAACATTATAATTTAGATCATGTAAATATTCACAGCTTAATTCAAAATTAAAGTAGCCTAGACGTTTGTCTAATTTAGGCAACTTCTAGATATTCCTTAGGTATAGGAAAGTCATAATATATTGTCTGTTCCCGTTCTGACTTTCAGGAGACATTCTTGTCTTCAGGATATTAATTCCCCATGCAACTGACACCAAGCTCAACAATTCACCTTATTTTCGGAACATTGATCTCTATACTTGAGAGTTTGTGCAAGGTTTATCCCAACATAAACTTACCACATGGAAGACTCCTGCTGCTTTAACAGGCTTAAATCCTTTGATGGGCACACAGTGATCTGCATGACCATTACAAAAGCAGCTTCCTTTTACAATAAAATCATAGATTGCATAGTAGGTTAGTTCTGGAGGTTTTGCATTCATGTCATTGCTATGGCAAGGGCAGGATTGTTGCTTAAGCAGCTGCACGCGGAGGTTAGTGATCTTCAACTGTGCCTGAGCTTCAGGACTGTAAGGATCATCAGCAGAATTGGGTGGTGACAAAGCTCGGTATATAACCTAGAAATAATACACAAGACAGAGTAAGTGAATAATAAAGAGAGGTGTCACTTGGGAGTCTTAAAAAATGCTTACATAATAATAATAATAATAATAATAATAATAATAATTTATTATTTATACCCTGCCCATCTGGCTGGTTTTCCCCAGCCACTCTGGGCGGCTTCCAACAGAATATTAAAATACAATCATCTATATAAGGCTACTGGCATCACTTATCAAATGGCCATCTGTTATGGATGCTTTAGTTGAGATTTCTGCGTTGCAGGGGGTTAGACTTGATGACCCTCAGGGTCCCTTCCAACTTTACAATTCTATGAAACTACATCAAGCTTTGGAAAGTTTCCTGGAATTTAATTGACTGAAAAATATATGACTTGACCTCTGGAATTGGCAATGTGAAGATTTTAGAACCTGATTACCCCCAAGGACAGGCTGCTAGTGCTGTGGAAACACCTCTGAATGAAACAAGGAGTAAACTGTGTCATCAGACTCCAGCTGTATGCTGTCCTGTCTATGACGCTGTGGAGTATAATTTCATCACAGAGCAAACGTTTCATTAGTGATGACTCCGCTGTGCAATATTGACAGGTTTGCCTTTTGATATTTTCTTGTTCTTTGGGCATATTATAAAACCATAGGGCTGTAGATCAGAAAAAAGATAAATCAGTCACCCATTTTAATGTTCTACTAAGCAGTACAGTGCAGATGAGTCTCGAAGTGGTTTTAGTTACTTAAAATATGTTCCAACTATACTAGTTCATTTGACACCTGGCAGTGAAGCTTCAGTGAGATGCCACATCCGACTGGATATACATATACTCTGTACTAAACTTTGCAACACATCTTGCTTTTGAAACATGGAAATGTTTAATGCTCATGTCATGAGTATTAAAAAGGTCACGCCAAAGCAGTTCTGAAAGTGACAGTCACAGAGGTAATTTAGGAAAGGGGAAAAGTGGCAAAAAGGCATTCAGCAAATATATTTGCTTCTTATTTTCAGTATGCACAGCCAACGTATTTTGGGCAGGGGGGAGTCAAAATCATTTATACTCTCTTTTTAAAGTAGGAAATGTGACTTGTGCAGAGCTTTCATAATCTTTCGCCAAAAGCCTTTCCTTTTATTAAGGGTGATGAATTAGTTATTTAAGTATTTGATTCCACCACCTCACTGGACTGTCATTTTTGCATCTTTTGGCTGCCACTGATTTATGGTATTGATTCCAGGACCATCATGTCTAAACCCAAGCTTCTCTCATGGCCAAGATCTTTCTGCCTTCCAGAACTTCCAGACTTCACTTAGAGATTGGGACAGTCAGGTTGGGGAGGAGTTATAAGGGAACAGAAAAGGTTTTAGAGCATTTACATTTCTGAATTGAATGGAAGCAGTCTGCTTTGTGAACCTTGTCAGCATGCCAAACGTGGCAGCAGCCAATGGGGCAGAGGCAACTGCAACTGGATGTTTTGGTGCCTGTGAGCAAGGCATTAGAAAACATGCAAAATAAAAAATCCTCATTGGATGCATAACTACGTGGTATTCTGTCCATCAAGTATCTATCTGTACGTATATGAAATTGGATACACGTTGGACTGATTGTCAGTATAATAACCTCCCTTTAAAAGGACCATTAAAACTGAAATGGGGAAAGTTAGGCTGGGAAAGGCAGCGAGAGAACAGAGCACATGAGCTGTGTTTGCCATGAGTGTTGAGTCTTTGATGGAGGATCTAAATAATTAGTAACACATTTCAAAAGGCTTTTGTTTCCCTTTCTATAACATGCCAAACCTTTTAAACTTATCCAGGAATAAGGCTGTATCAGGCAGGTATGAACACAAACTCAATGAATCCCAGCGCCACAACTTGTGTACATCTGTAGGTTCTTCTATTTATTCAAATGTAAGTGCCGTACAGCCCTGACCACAATGACTTTTTAGCAGTTTGTGAACATGAGATGCCTTCAGATATGAAAGAAAAATGCTTGGATGCAATCCAAGTTCTAGACATTCATTTCCTTTTCAGTGGATGATGGAAAATGCAGGCTGAGAAAAGTGCAATAAAAAGTAGCACCCTAGCTTCCTTTGATTAAAGATAAACTAAAATGGTATCTTAGATTTTTTTGTTATTTCTGGTTTTGATCAAATTTTCAGGGAAGAGAAATGTTGAGAAATGAAATAATTCATTTTGAACATACCAGTGCATTTTTAAAATGTTGACCTGTCTGCAGATTATATATATCGTGCTTGACATTTACTGTTAAAGGCCAAACAGCACTTGCTGAATAATAACTAGCACTTTTCAAACCTAAAAATATGCAGAATGAAGTAAACTAGTAAAACAAATTTGGACCATAAAGAAGGCTGATCGCCGAAGAATTTATGCTTTTGAATTATGGTGCTGGAGGAGACTCTTGAGAGTCCCATGGACTGCAAGAAGATCAAACGCATCCATTCTTAAGGAAATTAGCCCTGAGTGCTCACTGGAAAGACAGATCGTGAAGCTGAAGCTCCAATACTTTGGCCACCTCATGAGAAGAGAAGACTCCCTGGAAAAGACCCTGATGTTGGGAAAGATTGAGGGCACGAGGAGAAGGGGACGACAGAGGACGAGATGGTTGGACAGTGTTCTCGAAGCTACAAACATGAGTCTGACCAAACTGCGGGAGGCAGTGGAAGACAGGAGTGCCTGGCGTGCTCTGGTCCATGGGGTCACGAGGAGTCAGACACGACTAAACGACTAAACAACAACAACAACAACAAAGTAAAACAAATTGGCTGGAATTGTGAGTTTTATATGCTCATAGTCCATAGAATCTAAAATGTGTACACGTATGTTCATGAAGCCCTTGGCTGTTCCTTATTGGTTTTTGAGGACAATACAGTACAACTGATTAATGAGTTAGGAATGCTCAGGTCAGGTAGTGTGGACAAAAGGAAGGACCACAACAATAATAAAGTCCTTTAGTTCAAGGTCTGGGAACCAATTATCTAAAGTAGTAGTCCCACTAGGACTAGGGCATCCATCTCTTCCAAATCGGTCTGTGGCTCATGTGCATATGTATGCCCATTCATTTTTATTTCATTAAAACAGACCATTGTCTAGTATACTGCTTCATTCTTATTTCCACTCTAGTTTCCTGGGCTTTGTTTCAATTTTGTACATGGACAAGGAATATAGTTTACTTCTGACCTCAGTTGGAGCTTTGAACAATCTAGCAAAAACTGGGCAAAAAGTTCACAGTACACATACCTTAAAGACCACCTATTTGCCACAGCCACACACATTCCTCTTTTCTCTGCACCCAACTCTACCCATTAATTGCACAGTTTTCCTATAGAAAGTACCCACAATGGCGATGAGCTTTTAACCTTTATTATTCTTATATGAAAAGCTCAAGTGGGAGATTTTATTGGGCCAACTAAGCTCTGTTTATAGTGGGATGTAAAAGTTAAAAGCAATCACTCTCCCAGTAACTGTTATGGAAATCTGCAGCTGGCAATTGCATTGATTTGTAGAAATTGTGATTGGGAAGGGGGTAAAACATATGTGCCCAAGGGGAGAATTTCCATAATGTAAAAGCTGCAACAGTGGCTGATGCTTTCAACTTTTTTCCAAGAAACTGAACTGGTAGCAATAAAAATATATTATATGTATTAAGAACCAGACTGGTTAAACATTTTAAAGTAAAATATACATCTCACATTAAGTGAATAACTGTGGGACCTGTCAAAGCTATGCACTTCTACTTCAAAGGGTGTTCTGCCACCATAACTCTGCACACAAATAACAGGCCTACAACAATATATTTTTGCTCACACTTTGTTAAGTCTTAGTGTAGTAAATTATTCAATTTTTCTCTTCCAGCACCTACACAACTAGAAACTGTCCTTCATGTCTATAGAAGCAGAAGCCTAGGAAATCCTAAAACATTCTGCTCATCAAGCCAGCAACCTTTAGCCAGAGAACTTGTAGTCAAGACAACTCCACAGTACATGGTAGGTAATTATGGTGGCCATGAGCATGTGTAGAGTGCTTTTCTCACAATACTGAGTAAAACAGAATCAACTCTTATACTAAGGACACAACAGAAAAGATTCCAGGATAGACAGCTTGACTTCCTGGTTTGTTGAAGCGACAATACTTCTTATTCTAGAAATTCAGCAATGCCAGCATAACTTGGACGCTTCTTCAAGAAGTTGACTATTCAGCTAGACCAAGTTGACTAGATTGTACCATATAAATTTCTTAGACAAGGGAACAATCCTATATTAGATATTCCAGCTAAGTCTGTTACCTGCCTTGTCTGTTACCTGCCAGGCTTTCAATGTGAGATAATAATAAACACTGAGAACATACAGAATATATTTTCCTCACTAAGGTAGTAGCCACAATGATGTCTCAGCATCTGAGGAGGAAGAGATGGTTTTCCCATTGAAGTTGTGGTTTTCTGTGCCTAAGAAATGATCACAAGTTAATAGTAACTTTACTAGCTGTAATAAAGCTCAACTACCATGTTCAATTTCTTTTTTTAATGAATGCAGTTTCACAGAATATTAATCTGCTAGCTAATATTCTACACTTTCACGCTGAATCCACAAACAGATCAAAGAACACAGTCACAGCTATGATTTATAGCTAGCAAGAGTTTGTTTACACCCACTCCAAGTATCCCGTAGAAACACACACACACTATCCATGCATGACACTACAGATTCCATGCTTTATTTACACTTTATGAAAGACAGAGAAGTTCAAAGTATTGACTAAAATCACAAATCACAGTAACTATAAAAGAAGGGAAGCAAGCCCAGGTATCTGACTGTCAATTTGCCAGATGTGCAGAATGTTATATATGTTCCATACTGATATTGAACCCACCATCATAAGAAGTAGCAGCAAAGAACAGGGTGTCTTTGAGCATGTGTAAAGCAGATTTCCCCCACCACTAAGAAATTATTTCACATCTGTGAGTACGAAGCAGCTTCCCATGTTAGGTTGACCCCCAGTACTTCTATTTGGAGAACTTTAGCACTTGGTACATTCAATTTATTATTGCTGTTGTTGTTCATTTGCATAGCAGCATCAATATGCAAGGTGCTTTACAAGGTGCCAGCATAAAATTAACCTAAAATCATTAAATATTTTGTCAGTTGTTCACACGCTATGCCCACAACCTCCCAAATGCCAGACAGAACTATTATTAGAAACACCTTTTCTAAGTAAGTAAAATATGTAAAAGGTGCCAGGTGAGTCTCTTCTGGAAAGGAATTGACTAAATTTTGGAAATACTACTTTGTTCAATACAGATCCTCTTGGATTGGCAGAAGGGTCCTCTTGGTGGTTCTGCCACCCTCAGAATTTCCGTGGGTGTCAGCCCAGGACAGGCATTCTCTGTGATAGCTCCTAAGCTGTGGAATACTATCCCCACAGCAAATTGTTTGTGCTGCTTTTAACATTGTATTTTTATATCATAACCCACCCTGGGACCTCATGGTGAAGAGCAGGCAAGAAATCCCATAAATAAATAATAAGGTACAGTTGCAGAAAGCACCTTCCTCCAAACAAAACTCTCAAACATTTACACAGCCTTCAGCTAAAATTTATATTTTTTTCTTTGGCCTTTCCAATTTGAAATGTATGGTCTTATCACAAATCTACCCTAAACATTTCTGCTAACATAAGTAAAACGATTAGTAATAAAATACTTGAAATCCATCCACCTTAATCAACCTTTTCTTGTTGCAACTATCAAAGATTTATCTGACTTGCTTGGCACATTTTCTCTTAAATGAAATGAAAATACAAGCCTACATATAGTATGCCTGTAGCACAAATATATTTCTTGGCAGAAGCTGCAAATAATTAACAAGACACAGGAAGTATATATAGCTTTAAGTCGACCGCTATTGCTTACAGTCCTCTTCCACTGTACAGTATCTTTGTCTGGCTATCAGATCAAGTGGTTTCTGAGTGACAAATGTCTTTGTAGTGAAAAGCGTTAACGGTAGTCCATCTGCCTTTATATATCATATTTTTCGCTCTATAAGACGCACCAGACCATAAGGCGCACCTAGTTTTTGGAGGAGGAAAACAAGAAAAAAAATATTCTGAATCCCAGAAGCCAGAACAGCAAGAGGGATCTGGCTTCTGGGATAGCCTCTGGCTGTCCTGGCTTATGGGATAGCCGCGCGCAGCCTCTCCTGGGCAGCAGGATAAAGGCTCCCCTTGCCTGGAAGAGGCTGCGCGTGGCCAAGGCAGAAGCCAGGAGAAGTGCTTCGCTAAAGGGGCGCTGCGCAGCTCTGGCCTCTCCTTCCCCAAGGATTCGAACCGCTCACCTTCTGATCGGCAAGCCCTAGGGTCTGTAGTTTAACCCACAACGCCACCCGCGTCCATATGCTTACTGTGCTTAATTAATGCATACACAAATACAGTTAAGTGCTTCCTTGCCACAAATCTTTGTAGAAAGAGACAAAGTACCCACATTTAAAAGCAAAATCTTCATTTCAAATAGCACTTTAATCATGTGCCTTTCTTTTCAAAGAAATTGTGCTCCATGGGAATAGCAGGAAACACACACTACCCTGAACTATGGAGAAGCCTTTTGGTCCATCAGCAAGAAAGATGATATTTAAATACTCTCCCCTCAGGCAAGTTTCCCCCTTCCCCAAAGATTTATGTCCTTGGATTTGGCATGCCTTCACTACTTGTTGATATATGTCAGACCAACAAAGCTTGAACTTCGTCCCAAAACTAAGCCGAAGAGTGAATGAGCAGGAGAGCGAGTGAGCTGCTTTGCTTTCTTGTTCAGAGGCAAAGTCATTAGAAAAACTGGCTGACTCCCCAGAACATCCCCCACATCTCTGAGCATAGCACACAGCAGCAGAGGCTGGCAAAATGGACATGTAGTAGCAACAGCAGCAGCAAATGTGGCACCTTAAAACCTGACATTTTTTTCAGCGAGACCTTTCATAACCTAGAAGTTCATTTATACAGTGTTTAAATGTTTTTGTACTGCTTTTATTTCATGTATTCTAGCTAGGCACGCCCCCTATTTCCTTGTTCCTGTCGCTTGTAAAATACTGTTGCTTTACTGTTCTAGTTTTTAATTTTTAGGAAGATGTTGCTGTGGAGGGGGTTGAGTTGCCTTTTTATAACCCCATTTGTGTGCACAGTTTTGCATTGGGATTCTTCAGATTTTGTCCTGTCCTTGGATTTTTGATGAATATTTGAGTTGAGAATGGGTACATCATCTACTCTAGTCATGTACTTGGATATCAAATAATCACTACTTCTCTTCCACACACCTACATGGCCCATAACCTCTCAGGGTAGTAACTGTTCCAAGAGTGTTTTTTATTTGCAGAAAAACAACTGTACGTACTGTAACATTAAACATTCTGTGAAGAAACTCTAGGGGCTGATTTAATAGCTCACCCTGGTTTAAAAATCAGTGCTATGCAGGCGATTGTAGAGTAAAGTAATAGAATGTGCAGGGCATTTAAGTGGGAGAATAGATTTCCAACAGTGTGTAAAGGAGAGCTGCATGTTCTTAGGTAGTAATTATTGGTGTGAGAATGTGGATGTTGCAAATGCACAAATGTCCCTATTTTCATATGTGAATTGACAGCAATGCATCATACCCCTATATTTCAGGACAGTAGGGGCCCTATATAGAACCATAGGAAAGTAGAATTGCATATAAGAACCCTTCAGGTTGAGCCTAGGTAAATAGGCTTGAAAAAGGCACACATACCAGAAGCATGCAGTACTGTAGCAAGCCGAAGTGAATGACCCATGTGTCAATAGATTAATTCAGGTAACTGGTCAAATAACCTCCTTTACTCAGCAAGTTGTATCAATATTACCCATACTAGTTTAGCACTGGTTTTGCAGACCTGGCTGAAAGCTTTCAAAGATCCCACCATGTCCCAAGAACAGCTGTTGGTTCTCGAATATCTCACTATTCCAGTTGGAAGGTCTACATCATATCCAGAAACTTGCAATGGGAACTTCATCAAGAGCGAGGGCAGAGATCCTAACAGCTCAGTGCCCCTGGGCTAAAACAGCAAGTCATTTTGGGCTATTTAGAACTTTATTGGATCTTGAAACCTGTACATCATCAGGTTAAAGACCCTTTCAGAACTAGATGAGGTGTTGCAGGAATTTCAGTTTGCAGGTCAACAAGCATCACATATTTTTCCTGAGCCTTGAACTTGTTCCCAAGCAACATGTTTGTGATGAGATGTTGAGCCAAGAGTCTAACATATTGCAGCCATTAAACATTCCAAGGCACTTTCCACGAGAGTAAACCTATTATTCTCAGTGTCTTGAGCATTGGCTGAAATCCCAGTCAGTCTGGATATTTTAATTCTGCCTACCTGAGTTTCTCTTGTTTGGTGGCATTATTCTCTCGCTGCTTTTTTTTGGTAAACTATTTGGCAACATTATAGATTTGTATGTTGCTATCATAGTCTGAAATTGGCTGCCTTTCAATAAAGTGGAAGTCTATAAATTGGTCGATAAAATAAAAGACTATGATCTGTTCACTAAATGCATGCCGGAGAATCTACAGACATGCAACAATAGCATCTTTACCACACACACACACACCAACCCATGCTTTGAGGTTTGCAGGAGACCCTGTCAGTAAGACCACTGATGGGTATCACTTGCAGGGCAATGACTCATTGCTGGGCCTTCTCCTTGGTGCTTCCCAAGGTGTGGAGCTCACTTCCAGTGGAGGTGTGTCTATCCCCTGCACTGAAGGTTCCCCTTGGCTTTTGACACATGGGTGTCAATGGGAATTCCAGCAGTTGGCATTGTTTTGTGTATGCTTGGTTTTAGATGTTTGAAAGATGTTTTTAAATTAATGTATGGACTGTATTTTTATGTTCACCATCCTGGGTTCCCATGGAAGAAAGGCTACTGTGGAGAACAAAATTATTGGAGAGATCTCATGCGGCATAGTGACTAAGGATGTTTTGACTCATGAAACTTAAGTCTCTTATATCTACGGCATGGCTGAAATTTAGCATAGCTGAAATCTAGCCTACTGTACAAGGCAAGAGTCAGATGTGCCTACTTTTGCATCTGGCCACACTTCTCTCTGGCATATGGCCTCCATTAGGTTGTCCATGATAGAATGCAGCTCTTGGGTAGAAAAAGATTCCACATTTCTGTGTACAGTGGTACCTCGGGTTACATACGCTTCAGGTTACAGACTCCGTTAACCCAAAAATAGTGCTTCAGGTTAAGAACTTTGCTTCAGGATGAGAACAGAAATCATGCTCCGGCGGCGCGGCAGCAGCAGGAAGCCCCATTAGCTAAAGTGGTGCTTCAGGTTAAGAACAGTTTCAGGTTAAGAACGGACCTCCGGAACGAATTAAGTACTTAACCCGAGGTACCACTGTATAGGACTGCAGCATCAGCCTGTAGCTAAGTATATACATGTGCAACTGACACTACTACTTTCGCTTCCTGTGTTTAATTTTTGGTTGCAAGCTCCTTGGGGTAGGAATTTGTACTCTGGAAGGCATTATGCACACTGGTGATACTATATAAATAAACAATAGGTTGGATCCATATTATGTGAAGCTAAGAGTAGGCCCAGTGAAATCAATGGAACTGATTATGATTTTCTATTTATGTAAGTGGGTCTTCTCTAAACACAACTAAGACTTAACTTAACTCAATTTGTCTTCCCTCCCAAATAAAAGCCTCTTCCTCTATTTCTCAAGAACAAAAGACTTTAAAAGAAAATTGCTGGAGGGAATGAAATTAACAAAGCATAAATTTGTTGAAATGTGGTCTCTGACAAGCTTGCACTCAAACAACCTAATTGCTATTATGAAGCAATGATCTCTATACATATCGTGAAATAGCGGGTACATACACCTAAGTGCCTAAGGCTACATCCCTACACCTATTTATGAGCACTGGGCCACAATTAACTTAATGGGACTTATTTCTGGATAGACATGGATAGGATTGCAGTTTTAGTCTGCAGTCCTTTATGTATGGGAGTATGCCTCATTGACTCAATGTGACTACTTCAGAGTAGACTCATTTAGGATTGTACTGTTAAGGAGAGCATGATATGCATTAATAAGTTTTTTTGCAGTTATCAAAGGAAAAGATATGGCTTCCTTCTTGATTTTCCTTCTTGCTCGGTCTACCCCAGGGGTCAGCAACCTAAGGCCCATGGGCCACAAGCAGCCGATGGGGGTCGTTTAATGGACCCCTTCCACCCACTTGGTTGGCTCCCGTGCACCAGCACAGTGCACCAGCACAGAGCAGAGCAGGGACTGCTTTCTGCTGGCCTGCTTCCCATTGGCTGCAGGAAGCTCCTGCAGCCACTGTGAAGCTGCACACACCTCCTCAGCACTGGAAGGAGCGCCGGAAATAGTGTTTGCGCATGCATGCATACATGTGCACACGCACTCTGGCCCACCGCAGCATCTGCAGGACCGTGAACCGACCCAAGCCACAAAAACTTTGCTAACCCCTGGTCTACCCTTTCCATGAATAAGAAGCTGGCTTTGGCTATTTTTCAATCACTGCACCTAAAACATAAAACCAGATAATCTTCCCCTTGAGCTGTGGCCGCTCAACTTTTTAATGGCACAAGCAGGAAAATGGCACTTTCAGGACTGGGATCTACAATCAAAAGTGATTCATTCATGTCACTTCATGACTTCACAAGAATACAGGAGATACCTTCAAAAGATCTGGTTCTGCCTCTGTGACTAGTTTAATTCATTTAGATTATGTCTGCATTTTCCATTTCTGCTGCTCTGATGTGACAGGAAACAGAAGGAGGGTTAAGAAGTACTTTATGCCTCAGAAATAGGCTGTGAAGCAAGTTCAGATTTCCATTATATGAATGCACCTCTATATCTCTGTGTTATAAGGATCCCCCAACTTAAAGCCTTGGTGTGATCCAGTCAGTTCAGGGTTGCTTTACCAACTTGTGCAAAAATGCCAAAATAGGCAAGCTGTTGTAGTATATCAGTAGTATAATTTAGAATGTTACAAGTTTCTGCAACTTTGGCAAGCCTTCTGAATTTCCCTGTCAGCAGCAACATGATTCAAGCAATCAACCTTCCCCAAAATATAGTTAACCAATAAGGAACTTTATTGTGCATTCCAGTCATTTCCACACAAAAACTTTGCTTGCATAGAACTTGCAAAAGGTGATTAAATAATTATACTCTCTTTTTATCTATGTTTCAGAATGAGGAAAATGTGTTTAGCTATTAATTTTCCTTTGACAGATGGGAAAGATGAAGTCTCTAATTTTTGTATTGCTTGCAGTCTAATAACACTCAAACTTTTAATATGTGTTTAATGCTTTGGTCCCTAATCTCCTTTAATTTATTGCAAAAATAATAAACAGCTACTCTATATCCTAGATATGATTCTCTTTCTTCTTACTTTTATACCTAATGGCCTATGTTTCTGAGCCTTATAACTGTGTAAAGGTATACACACCCATATAACTGTAACCAGGGGAAAGAGGTTCTGCATTTGGATTTATATGCAGCATAAATACATGCCTTGCTGTTACTGCCTAAAACCAACCTTAGTTATTTGTTAAAGATTTATTATTATCATTATTATTATTGAAACTGTGATTTAATGCTTATATATTGCCAACACTTTGCTAGACATGGAATGAACACAGTATACCAGTGCATGAGACCATTTTTAGCTGGACAGTTCGTGATAACTGTGCATTTTAAACTGGAATGAATGACTGTTTCCAGATGTCTGAAATTAGGTACTACTATGAGTAGAAGTACGTCCTCCATAACTCAAAACAGCTCAATAACCTCTTGTGTTGTTTAATGTGAGGTACATGTTACTATTGGCAGTTACAAGTAATTGCTTGAATGTAGCTGGCTGTAATAAATTAAATGTGATGTTTGCAAAATCTGCAGTCCTGCCATCTGGTCACCAGAAAGCTTCTGGTACTACTTTGCAAATAAATACAAGTAGTGTTAAAATGCAGGGTGCTTTAATATGTAATCTGTGTGATCTCCAAGCCCCCTGCACTCAACACTTCCTGAAAACTTGAAATAATGTTGACATCTTAAATGAACATCTTTCTGTAACAGTTTGTGGTGTGGCTTATGCACATTAGGCAGGATGAGGTTTGTCTTAAACTTTCTTATGCTGGCAGATCACAACACTATGTCACCATAGCAATACTCTTGCACTGGCACAAGTTTGAAGTGGCAGAACAGACACCTGTGGTCATGGAGGAGTGGAAATTAGTCAGAATCCTATGTTCCCTCAGGGCAGGGGTCAATCCCACAATGCAACAATGGCATAATGCTGTGCAGCAAAGGAGAGTGGCATAACTTTGAACACTCCAAACAGAGATCCCCAGATGACTGCCCATGGCTTCCCTCTTTTCCTCCACAGTCACAATGGAGGAAAGGATTTCAACAAAGTCTGGAGCCAATTATTCTAGAGGACCCAGCAAGTGAGCAAGAATTTTGATAACAAGGTGTACAAGTTGGGATTCCATCTACCATATCCATGAACACATAACTAGGAACACTGAAGTTGGGATTTTTATGATGGGCAACTTACACAAAGGGAGCACTTTGCCCAAACAATGAACACCAACAACCAAGGAGAAGCAGTCAATTGACTAAATTTATAAACAAATAGTATGTCTAATTCACAACTTCTCACCATTGTACAGATACTGTATCAGCACCCACCAGATGCCACCACCCAGAGGATCCTGAACTCCACACACGCAACTGGGGCTGCAAGGACAAAGGTAAGCAATAGAGGTGGCTCATCAGGGAGGGGGAGAACATGCTTCAGAGTAGTTCCTTTACACCCCCATTCATAGCACCAAGGAAGAAGGGGTGTGTGTGTGTGTGTGTGTGTGTGTGTGTGTGTGTGTAGAGCACTCAGAACACCTATAGCCATATAGTGCTTTGCACTCTCATCCCTTGTGATGATGGGAAACAGTACATTTGTGTAATAACTCTATCCTTACTTAGCAGGTGAGACCTGTATTTCCCTCACAAGGGGCAGGCTGCATTCTCAGAAAGGGTGGCTTCTATGGCCACAATCCCAAAAATATACTGGAAAACATAACACTATACTCCATCTGCATCTATAGCCACTGCTGTCCAAACACTTATGGCTCATGACACAGACATTTCCTGCACACAGAAGAAACCGTAACTGTAGACAGCATTAGAAACATAAAAATAACCCTCCTTAATGAGGCCAAAGACCCATCTAGACCAGCACTTTTTTCCTACCGTGGCCAACCAGATGCCAATGGGAAGCCATATGCAGGACATGAGGTTAGTGGTACTTCCTTGCTCATGTTCCTCAGCCAGCTGATATCCAGAAACATGCTGCCTCTGATCTTTGAAGTTGTACACAGTGTTCATTAGTTAGTAGCCTTATCCTCAATGAATTTGCCTAATCTTTTCAAGCCATCCATGGCCATCACTACATCTCATGGTAGTTTAACTATGCACTGTGTGAAGAAACTGTGGTTTCTGAAACTGACTTGGGAAATAAACCATAGTTAATGGTTAACCACAGTTCCCACTTTGGATGGCACAGAATGCTGTGGTTAACTAAAATGCAGGAGTGAAAGCTTCCAAACACCTCCTCTCAGCTGCACAAGAAGGGGGGAGTGTACAAGTCCAAAGATAATTGTGGTTTGTGCGCGTCATGCTCAAACTAAATCATGATTTAGTGCTGGAAGGAGGAACCTGTGGTTCTCAAGATGTTGTTGGACTACAACTCCCATCAGCCCCAGCCAACATAGCCAATGGGCAGGGATGATACAAATTGTAGTCCAACTGCATCTGGAAGGCCACTGGTTTAGTGTGGCATGCAAATATCATGAAAAAACTAAGGTCTAGAGTCAAAATAAATCTAGAGTCAATTTTCAGTTGTTTGTAGTTTTTGATATCTTAATTAACTCACCTCTCCTCCAGTGCAGGGGAAGTGACTGGAGTATCTAGAAGTGCAAATTGCTCCTTTCTTGGTTACATCATCATCCAGCCCAAAGGCTGCTGAGCAGTTAGTGGAAAAATATTTGTAAGGTTTCCATGTTTTCCCAAAATCCTGAGATCGCTCCAAGACCATGGCTGCCGGTCTTGGTGACTTGAACACCATGATTACGTGAGTGAAATAAAACTCAGTTTCCAAGTTCAGTTGGATCTTCTCCCTGTTCACCCCCTGTGCTGATTGCCACCATGTGTATGGCAGCCGAAAGGGTGAGTCAACCATGGCAGAGGGTGAGTGAGCCAGATGGGCATGCTTGGAGTTGCATTTGCTACACTTAGGCTGCTTGCATATGAAGTCTGCATTCTCACTGTAGGAACAGTAAAACTCTGTGGCGTTGTCCCCACACTTTGTATCTGTCCACAACTTACGCCCGTATCCTAAATTTCCCATTCGAGGGTTGCACGCTTTTTCACAGTGGGATCCAGCTTCAACAACACTGCTCAGTCCTATGTAGGAAAAAGGGTGATAATTAAAAACTAAGTTAGCATAAATTATTATCAACCAACTGTACCTAACACATAATTAAAATTCTGACTTTGCAATAAAACAAGAAGGCACAGTTAATTTTTTACTGGACCCACAAAGGATGTAAGACCTTAGGCAAGCTTTTATATTCAGAGCCTCAGGACAACGCAAAGGCACACCTTGTATCTGTATTATAGGGATAATGATACTGGCCTATTTGACAGCACTGCTTTAAGGATTACTGAGCTATTTTATGTGAAACACTTTGAACACTTGAAAGGTGCTATATAATGTGCTATTGAGTGTCTACAAAGGCCTTGGACCAAACTATTCAGTGCAACTATTTAGCGGCTCTTTGTAAACAGAAATATTGAAGAATTGTCCACCTTCCCCCTGCTCCTCAATAACTTATGGTATTTAGTTCTAGGACCTTAATACTCCATGCCTTAGGCGGTTTGTCTTCAAAAAAGGCTCATAGATGCATGGTGTTATTTTGTAACTGAACAAGCATGGATCATTTAAGATAAAAAAACACACAAGTGAGTAAATATACTGGGAGCAAGGTGCTACCCTACACCAAACACTCAGACTCTGAATAGTTTAAAACTCATGGAGGTGTAAGAGGCCTCAGCCAAATACATACTTCCCTCAGGAATATATTCACAGGTGGATCTTACCCAGAAGTAGAACAGTTTATTATAAAGGGGCAAGTAGCAGCAGAATAAAATTCTGAGATACAGCCCAAGGGAATATGTTCTGGTGGAACATGCAAGACCCAGTGCAAAAGAAGGTGGGATAGACCTAAGAAGAACTATTATTTAGTATTCACTGAATGCTAAATCTCAGGGTATATATTTCTTTTATGCCCCTTCTTTTAGATTTGGTTTTTTGTTTTGATGCTATGTATTATGCTATGCTATGCATCTTGTTTTATTTGTTCTTTATATTATTTAAGATTTCATGCTAATGTTCTGTCTTGGTTTCATTCCCATTTCTCAAGGCACTCTTTTTCAGGTTCTCTTTCAGGTTCTTTTATTTCCTCCTTTGATCTTGGTTCAGCTCTGGATACTTGTCACTTTTTAGCCATTCTCCATCAGTTTAATATTAACTATAATTTTAATGCATATCTTCCTACGCCATAGATTTTCGCTCAATTTTTCAAACTGTTTTCCCCATTGAAGTTCACTTTCTTGAATTAAGCTTCTTCCATGCCTCCTGCTGTCCATCTTTTTCTCTGTTGCTAGGCTGTGAAGTAATCAATCCTTCTTCTTGGGTACACAGATTATAGATAGAGGTGGCCAACCTTCTGGGGCCCACATGCCAGTGGTGGATGTGCCCAAAAGTGAGTCTGGCCACTCCACACTTGCACACAAGGGTGCCAACTTGAATAAAATATTGGGGGGGGGGTATGCCCCGCCTCACATAATTGATCACATGACATGGTGCATGCACACCATTTGAATGGCAATGCTCATCAACTTGTGGGGGTTCCACAAGTTTTGTTGGGAGGGCTGAAGGGACCTCAGCCCCTAGGAGTTGGCTCCTATGCTTGCACACTCCCTTGTACACACACACACAGCACATAAAGGCACATAGCTGCCGCCCCCATCTGAGCAGATCCATTGATGACGTTATCATTCCCTCTCCGCTCATCAAATTATCAATCTGGTGACCAGATTTGCAATTGGGTTTGCATCCTCATTACAGTTCTGAACTCTGCCCACTGCCATGTTGTGCCTACTTTTTACAAAAAAACTTTTTGCTGTTGTTGCAAAATCCAGTGGTGTCTTTGAGAGCCATATAAAACATTGCTTGGAGACCAGCAGCCACACGTGCTCTGTGCTTTTATTCCATTATTCACATCACTACTACTTCTTGTAATTTCATCTGCTTATTCTCTAGGCTATACTATGGTTATTTCCTTACTTTTCCTTCTCTTGTAATGTCCTTCTTTCTTGTTTCTATCTTCAGCCTCTGTTCTTTAGTCTGCTGCTCTGCTTGTTTATTCTGCTTTTCATTTTGATCATATCACTTTCATTCTTTTGCCTCTCCATTGCCTTCATTTTCTTCAGCATATTCATTTGCAGCTTATTTTGGTTTACATTCTACTGCTCTGGTATATCTTTCAGCTTTTCTTTTTTTTAATACATACCGTCACCGATATTTGCTTCATCCCACTGGTTCCCTCTTCTTCAGATGTTCCTTTTCAATTTATTCTTTTGATCTACAAACCTAAGCTATTTTTTGTCTTATTCCCTTTCCTCTTTCAGTTCTTTTTCTTTGGATCCCCTTCCTTGTGACATTACAATGGACCAACTATTTCCTCTATTTGTACATTTGCAGAGGTCTTTTTCCTCCAGTCTCCTCTTCATGTCTTGCTTTCACCTTGTGACTCTTGTCCTTTGCAGTATGCAGTGAGCTCATTTGAAATATATGAGACTTCTAAGTAAACATGTTTAGGATCAGGATAATAAAAAAGAGTATTTTTAGGCTACAGAGTAAGCTCAAATGTATAATGCACACTTCTGCCAACAAAGGTAAATAAATACAACTGTAAAAGTCACATAGTAACACTGAGTCCTTTTCAAAGTGCTGTACAAACATTAACTAATCTGCACAGCTCCCCTGAGAAGTAAGGAAGCAAGTATTATTATAATGTGTCTTATCAGCTAGGCCAAGATGGATTGGCTTGATTTACATGCTGGCTGGTAAGATTTTTCAGTCTCATTATGCAATGTAGTCAAGTTACCTGGTGAATGTTTACTGCAGCAATTTTCTCCATTATGCTTCTACTACTGACGTGAGAAAAGTGCTTTGAGTTTATTTTTTAAAACAACAACAACACTCATGCATATTCATGAGTCTGAACAGGTACTATACACTGTGCATCTGGGATACAACTGAACTTTCTGAGAAACTTGCTGAGCCAAATATCTAGCTCCTGAAGTGGGAAATTACAGTTTGAAAATGTGCTGGATTAGTCTGACAGCTCTGCTTTAATTATACTGAAATCTTCCAAAAATGCTGAATCATCTTCTCATACTAACAGGAAAATATATTATTTTCCAAGTCTAAATATATTTCCATTTATTTCTGGGGTTTTTTAGTTTCCTAATTGGTGGTGGGTTTCACTGCAGAGGAGTCAATGAGAAAACTGCATGTGGAGGCAATTTAAAACTAACTTCACACTATTTTCTATGAAATTTTACAATGTAGTTTTGTAAAAAAGTAGTCCAAGTAAGAAAATAATAATTAAAGACATAGATAACTTCAGTCCATGTTGTGTGACATTCTTCTGTATAGTACTATCTGTCACTAGAACTTTGCAAAATGAAAATAAGCTTAGATATTAGAAAATAAGTATTTTTACACAGTCAACCATGAGATCATTAAAGGCATTTTCTGTCCTGTGCTCTTTGCCCCTCTTTCTCTTAATATTTATAGTTAACTGCACACTACCTCCCAGCCTATGTTAGTACACATGCCACTGAACAAAAATCTGTAGTAATGGACAAGAGCATACAAGGTACGACATGACTCACCTGTAAAACATTCAGAGCTAAGTTATATGTTTCCTGTTGCAGCATTTTTCAGCCAAAATATACTTGCGTCCATTCATTATCCATTTTACAAATTGATGGTATGACACTCATATTAAGGTTCCATCAGGGAACAGGTTCACTCATATTAAAATATAACAAATTCAAAAATAAAATACTTGACTGTAAACGTTACTTTAATAATATGCATAATCAGGCATTTCAGGCTAAAGAAACACCTATGAAATAGGCATATCTCCTCATCACTGGCTTCTATGACTGTTTTACTAGATAACAGAAATCTCATGTAATGTACACTATCCATATCCTTTCGGTCACTGGAAGTGAACTCTCTCCCTACATTGACTATAACTGAAACTGGAATATTTGGTGGTTAATAGATCTAAGTAAAAAAAAAATTCTAATAGTGAAAAAAGCAGTCCTACCTATTTTACACCAGGCTAGGTTATCCTAAGGCCAATCAACACCCATTCCTGCCATAGAAGTGTGAACAAATGTTACCTTTCTGCTTTTTATCTCATCTTCTCCTTGCTCTAGGCCCATTCACATTAGGGAATGTGCCAATTTTTGTCAGAAGGACAGTGATGCAGACACCATAGGATGACATTTGCTTGCGAGGATCAGTCCAGTCCAGGTGTTTATCTCTTTGTAGGATCTATGAGCTTTTCCCGCCACATTACATAAACAATAGTAGCAATCAGTTCAGAAAGAATGTATGTGTTCAGCTTTACCCTCAGAGTAAGATGCTAATAAATGATAGTGAAATAAACTGCAGGTGGAAATATTGGTGCATAGTTTTCCTCTGCAGCATGTTATCTGGTCCTTGTCCTGTCTAGTTCTGATAGGGGGGAAATAGATCAAAGCAATGTGGCTGCACAAAAGTTGCTTTCTTAACTTTGTCTCATTCTTGAAACTGTTAAGAAACAATTCACATGATTTCTAGGGGCAAACCAGTGGCATTTAACTTTTGTGACTAGATATAGGTGCAAAAGCACAACCATAGATGGTTTCATGGGTGTAGCCAGGATTTATTTGGGGGGGCAGGCTTTATTTTAGGGGTAGCAGAACCGAGTTATCTGCAACAGAATTCGTCACTTAGGGTTTTTTTTATTTACTTGATGGGGGGCAGCTTACCCCCCCATGCACACACACACACACACACACACACACACATCCCAGCGATGCCCATGGATGCTTTGAATTCAAGACCATTTTTATTCCCAAGACCATCAGGGAACAGGTTCACATCCGCATCCACAAACCATGCTACCTACATTCGCCTTGAATCCTTGAGCATCTGATTTACCAAACAAAATGGGAAATCATTTATAATAGATACCAATTATTATTTATTATAGCTTGTACTGACTTGTGTTAGATGTATAAGACAAATGCCCATTGCACCAGACTTTACCATTTTTTCCCCTAATCTGGAAGGAAAAATACAAAGCCTATAATTGCTTTTTAGGATAGCTCTCTGTTTTGTGTTTTTAAATTTCCATTCCTCAAGATGACGCTTTCTGAGCCAAGCGCTGAAAATGTTCGGGATTTGGTGTGTGTGTATATGTGCAATATGTGTTAATTAGCTCGTGGGATGAACCAGTCTGCCTTTCAGCCTCTCTTGCACCGCTCTTGACTTTTTAACACTTTCTTCTGAAGTTAAGGAAGAGCCATCAACTGTTTGAAAAGCGAATGTTATCTCATTTACCTTGGAGGCATTTGAAAGGGGAGGTGAGGAGACAAGGGCTCCTGATCCGAGTTAAGACTAGGAGCCCTATTTCTCTCTCGCAGGCAACAAGAGGCGCTTCTTGGGTTACTGACAGGCGTTCCAACCCTGCAGCTTTGTTCGAGGCGAGCGAAGTGTGTGTGTGTGAGGGAGGGAGGGAGGGAGGGAGGGAAGGAAGGAAGGAGAGAGAAGCAACTCCAGGCTTTAACTTGCACCTTAACTTTTGTCTTCGGGATCAGCTCTTCAGAGCAAATCCTATTCCACCACCTGCAGGCCTGCTAATCATAATAACTGGAGAAGAGAAAAAGGATGCGAGCGAAAAGGATTCACATGCACGCGAGCGATCGCGCGCGCACCGCACGAGAGAGAGACCAACCTGCAGCCAGGGCAGAGGCGCCTAGCAGCACCAGGTGCCAGAGCGGGCTCCCCATGGCGGGCGCGCATGGAGTCCAGGCTCGAAGGCTGCCGGGCGCTGCGCCTTGCATCTCCCGGCCCCTAAGGGCAGCGGCGAGGCTCCATAGCCGCGAGCTCCCGCGGGGCTGCTGCTGCTGGTGCTGCTCCAGCCGGAGGACCTTTGGAGCCGAGCCGAGCTGCGCGTCCTGCCGCGGGCATCTCTCGCGCGCCTTGCCGTCGCCCAGGAGCCGCGCTGCCGAGTCCCTCTCAACGCCGCTCGCCTCCGCCTCCTCCGCCAAGCCCGGGAGCTGCGGCCAGGTGCATTGGGAAGAGGCGCCGGCCCTGCTCTCCCGCCGCTCCCGGCTTGTCTCCTTGTCCCCGATGACAGCCCTGCGAGGGGAGTGGCGGCGGCGGCGGCGGCGGCGGGTCATAGTACTGCAGCGGCAGGAGGAAGGGCCGGGCTGCTCCCCTCCCCACCCCCCTGAGGGAGAGGCGGCGGCGGCCCGCCCCTTCGTGCCCCCCACCTCGCCGCCCTTCAGCCTCCCTCTAGCTGGCAAGAACCACAGCCACCCTCGTCCCCCTCACGGAGGGAAAATGAGCAACAACCTGGCGGCGGCGGCGCCCCCCCCCCTCCCGCGTGCCAGCCACCCCATCTCGCAGCATTCCTCAAAACCATTGACTTTTTACCGCTGCTCCATCGCGCCACGCGAAGGTGCCTCAGCCTGACAGACGGAGACAGCTCGGGAGAAGAAGGATCAGGCAGTCTCTCCCGCCTCGCTGCTTCCCAGCCCCCCCCCCCCCGCTCAGCATTCTCTTCCCGCTTCAGCTCCCCCACACCCCAGCCTGGGTGACTGACCTTCCTTGTCCCCAAATCAAGTGGGTGGCACTGCCGCCCTCTTGTCCCGTTCCCCCTCCCCCTCCCCACATCTCCACCTGGGTTGCCCTCCTCTCTCCCTGTCTCTGATAGCACACCACTTGCCATAGATACTGGTAATACCAGCTACGCACCAGAGAATCACACCCCTCATCCATGTTCCAGGTGGTCCACCTGACAAGTTCCTCTGATCTGTTGTCCTTTCTCCTTCCACTAAACCGCTCTCTGTCTCCCCACACCGACACCAAATCCTGCTACAAGAGTATTTCAAAATCATCCAATTAACTGTTACAACTTTTATCTTTTGCCATTTCACCCCATCAGTCCCAGCATCTCCCCTCTTATCTCCAGTGCTTTCCCCCCAGGGGGTACTCAGGGGTATGCAGTACCAGTGCGCCTCTTTTAGTTGTTCTTAGAAAGTGTGGCACTTGCTCTAACAACTTCATGGTGAGTACCCGGACCTATTTTTCTAGAAAAAAGCACTGCGCTCATCTCTCAGGTATCTGAAATCACAGAATTTGAAGATACACAACATGTACCAAGGTATCTACCCTGTAACAACTGGTAGAATACATTTCTTTCGCCTGCTGAGAAACCTGTTGGTGGCAAGAGAAAAAATAGACATATAAAAAGAATTCCTGGGTGCCAAGATTCAGGGTACCCTAAAATATGCCATTGTGAGTTCCAAAGTTACCCCCTTCTCCCAGCATAGAAAAATGTCACATGTTTGTGAAGTTAAAAATGGTTATTGTACTTACAAACTCTCCAAAGGTCAGATTCATGTGCTTTTCCGTACAGCAGTTAGAAAACACAGGCAGTAAAACTTGGCTTAGTTATAGTGGTGAAAGTTCCTAAATGATTGGTATAGAAACACAAAAATGGCTTATAAGAGCCATGTGGTCTTAACTGCAGCAACAAATTTAAAACTTCTTCACTGTCAGAGCTTCTCTGGTAGATTGAGGTATAATAGGTTTGATTACCTTCCTTCTAAAGTGAGGGAGAGTGACCAAGCTAAGCCTATTAGGACAGCTTACTACTATATGGTCTTGACCCCTTCGTGTGTTAATTAGACTTAAGTATGTTGGTTATATGAGGCTGGTTATCCCACAAAACCCACATCCCAGCTGCAAGTGCATAAAGTGAAATGAATACATGTGACTGCTGCCTTCATTAGTTGTTTTGGACAGTCATCCTACCACTAAACACTTACTACTATGTAATAGTTTTGCTAGGCCATAGTCCACCTCTTCCCAGTCACCTGGCTCATATTTCTCCTCCTTAATACATAATTTGTAGGAATCTGTAAGCTACTTTAATGTAGAAAAGCAGTGTGTGTGTGTGTGTGTGTGTGTGTGAGAGAGAGAGAGAGAGAGAGAGAGAGAGAGAAGCTGTCACATAATAATAATAATAATAATAATAATAATAATAATAAAATGTATTATTTACACCCCGCCCACCTGGCTGAGTTTTCCCAGCCACTCTGGGCAGCTCCCAATTGAGTGTTAAAAACAATACAGCATTAAATATTAAAAACTTCCCTAAACAGATGTCTTTTAAAATTAGGATAGCTGTTTATTTCCTTGACATCTGATGGGAGGGCGTTCCACAGGGCGGGCACCACTACCAAGAAGGCCCTCTGCCTGGTTCCCTGTAACATGAAGCTAAGGGCTTGCAAAATCCCCTATAGTAGCCACTGGTGTCCAGCAATTTACTACATGGATCAGAAGAAGATCTGCACATCTATAAAAGCCTGCCAGCAAAGTTTGCAGCAGGATGGGAAACATCAATTCACAGTGAGCTGTTGCATAAATACACACAGAGACAGCTACTATGGGAAGCAGTTTACAGCATTTTCTTCTACATGTTGGAAACTTTATGTGTGTTGTCCCTTATCATCCCTATCTTTATCAAGTGACATAATTATAACATCTCATTTTTTCAGAACTAATATAACATCTCATTTTTTGGCTTCTTCTGGTGCTCTGTCAGAAAAATATATGACCTTTCAGTAACTTTCTTTCGAAAAATACAACATTGAAAGCCAAGTGATAGTGTCACTAGTAGTCACTTCTCACACCTTGTGATGCATACTGTATGGTGCTAAAATAAAAGCTCTCAGATATGAAGATGGATACAAACTAATGTGTATCTATGAGTGACTGCCACTCACCTTGACATTAGGCTGAAATTGAGGTTATTAGGAGCATCAGTTTGCTCAGTTTATGTGATAGATAGAACTAGGCTTCTTAAGGGTGTGACAGTCAACCATTCATGGCTGAGACTGTCAGAAACAGTAGCTAGCAAAGCGGAGGAGATTAGATATGTGGTTCTGCGGCAGAAAGTTCCTGTCTAGACATAGACACATATTTACGTGCCTGGATGTTTAGAGAAAATGATAGAAGAAAAAAGACTTTCTCTTATTATGAAAGTGTGCAATGAAAATAAGATATGCAGAAATGATATTCTTAGCTGTTTTTCTAGTTAATTTAATATAATCAAACAAGATAGAACTAATACTAAATTATTATAAAAAATATGGATGATACTATTATGAGAGGGCATAGCTCTCATAGGAGATAGAGGCATAGGATTGTGGTTGCTTTTTATCATAGTGATTAGGTTTTGAAAGGTATTTTAATAGTGACAAAATATAAAAAGTGGCCCATGCTAATGAAGTCAGCTCTTAATAGACACAATGGGCAGGGGCATGTGTCTAAAATAATACAACAGTTGTTAATTTTGCTAAAATTTGGAGTGCTTGAAAAAATGGTCATAAAATACCATTCTTCTTTCAGTGGTTTATATGATGAGCACAGGCATGGCAAGATTTAAATTGTTAAATGAATAAATGATATATTTAACAAATTTTCATTCCACAGTTAAAAGATTTTCCTCTAGTCCCTGCATCTAGGCTTATCCAGAGTGTGGGGAAAGAAATGCATTTGGCTTTTGTGGTTTATCACTGAGAGGGCAAAATTACATGTAATCTTAAATTCATGTGATAATATGAAGGAGGGATATGGAGGGAAGAACTGATAAGATAGAGGGGCACTTCCCTTGCCATGCAAATTCCCTCTAGACCATTTTTCTCATAGCCAGGATTATTTTTCTCATAGCCAGTTTCATTTTCCCCATAGCCAGTTTCACAGCTCAGTTTGGGGGAATTGTCCACCCAGAGCAGCAGATCTTGATGTCAATCATTCTTTTCACACACACACACACACACCCCCCGCCCATGCCTTATTCCTGAGCTGGCCAAGATGTTTGGAATATGAAAATTCCATTGAACATTAGAATGAAGTTTAGGGCACAACTTCAGAACATATTCTAAGTTCAAATACCACATCAACCCACAACCATTTTCACAGGAGGCAGCAAAAAATGTGAAACATACCAACAATGTGATCTCTGACTTGAAGACAGCAGAATGAATATCAGGATGAATGCTCACAGCACTATCATACATTTTTAGATTGAATCTCACACTGACCTCTAAGCCTGTTTTCAAATGGCTTGTGGAATGTGCAAAACACCCCCAAACGTGATATCTAGCTTGAACATCAAGATCCAGAAATGAAAATTAGTGTGCATACACAGGTCACCTTTCTGTGTTTCAGTTTTGAGCTCTAGCACTTGTTTCAAGGTGCTAAATAAGGTGCAAAGTAGCTTTAGTGCATTGTTGTTGTTGTTTTATTACCGTACTTGTCTTTCACCAACAGACCCCAGGGCAGCTTACAACAATTGAAAATTGAAAGCAATTACAACCACAGGTGTAGGGTAGCCCCGAAAGTACACAGTGAGATAGGCACACATTTCAGGTGTCAAAGGCCAGGTTAAAGAGGTGCATCTCCAGCATTTGGCAAAAGCTGTATTGTGAAGAAGACAGATGCACCTTTGTGGAGGGTTAATTCCACAACTTAGGTGCTGCCACAGAGAATTCCCTCTCCCAGACCACCTCTGAGGGAGGTGGAACTGCCAAGAGGGCCCCCTCTGCTGATGTTAACACCTGGGAGGATCTGTAGGGAATGAGGCAGTCTTTCGGATATTTGGAGCCTACATTGTTCAGGGCTTTAAATGAGCACCTTGAGTAGGGCCCAGAAACAAACTGGCAACCAATGCAGCTGTTTTAGAAGAGGGCTATTTGCATTCTGGCCACTGCATTGTGGACCAGTTGAAATTTCTGAGTTGTCTTCAAGGATAGCCCCAGGTAGAGTGCATTGCAATAATCTAATTGTCGAGTTACCAGAGTATAGAGTCCTGTGGCTAAAAAGGGTTGTAACTAGCAAACCAGTCATAGCTGGAAATAGGCACTCCTAGCCAACATCAATGGGGTCACCTCTATATGTTTGCTGAGACCCTCAAAGAACTCGAAGAGGTTAGTGAGACAGGACTTACCCTTACAGAAGCCAAGGCTTGTTCTTCTCTATGCTTGGTTATTTTATCTTTAGCCATATTTTCCACCAGTTTTCCCAGAACAGACATTAATTTAACACACTGTAATTTCCTGGATCCCTGTCTTAAAATTGGTTTTACATTGGCCACTTTCCAGGCCTCAGGTGTGGAGGCTGCTCTTAGGGACAAGTTATATATTTTTGTGAGAAGATCAGCAATTTCTGTTGGATGGATGCCATCTGGAGTGGGAGATTTGTCGGTTTTTGTTTTGTCTGTTAGACCTAGAACTTTATCTTTCATCACCACTATTTGCTGCAGTTCCCCAGACTCCCTTATTACAAAAGTTAGTTCAGACATAGCAATCTGCCGTACATTTTCCACTGTAAAGACAGATGCAAAGAATTAATTCATCTTCTCTGCAATCTCCTTATCTTCCTCTAGCACACCTTTGACTCCCTTG